TTATATTATATATATATATATATATATATATATATATATATTCAAATTATATATCTAGAGCTCTATTCCTTTAATTTTTTTTCTTATTTGTTTCACTCTTTTTTATTTATTTTCTCCATTCAAACAAAGTTTAAAAGCTTGCCAAAGCACTAAAGCAGCGTCTTATAGGTAGCAACCAAATGCCACTGGACAACCAAAATGCGCATTTGACGAAGTGCCGAGAAAATGTTCCATTGGCAAACTAAAGCTGACCAGGCCAGCAAAGACTATTGGGACATGTTTTGGTTCTGCACAGTGAATTAAAGTAAGAATTGACATGTAAACTACACATATGATGCATGGCTTCATGACATTGACTGTTGTCTCTATTTTGAACGAATCCCTTTGAATTTCACGATTTAAGGGTCATAATTATTGTTTACACATATAATTGTCTTATTAATCCGTGCATTTGGCATGCATTTGTAAGGGTTGGGCTGGATACTTGTATTTTTATTTATTTATATCCAAAATAAATATAGTGATGTAACTTTTTCGCGTTGCTTCGTGGAGATGCATGCAACTAAAAGGGAAAGGGAAGGATGAAAAAACATAAGAATAAGTATGCTCATTTTAGCCAATCAAAAAGTATGCGTCGTCATTTGTTTATTTAACATGATCTTTTAATATCAATTTATCAAATTAGTTATAACAAATAATATTTATTTTCAAGTATTTGGTGTATTTGGTAATTAAAGGATTTATTAAGAAAATTGTACTGAATAATATTTTTTAAATTTTTAATTTTTAAATAAGTCTAATAATGTCATATAATTTATCTAATTAATTTTTTTAAATAAATTTAATATTCCGAATTTATTTAATACAAATTTTCATATAACAAATTGATAGAATTAAATAGTTAACGTTGAGGTTTGTAGTTAAATTTTCTTATCAAAATGAAATTTAACTAGTTGAGCTGTTGATAAAGAGTTTTTAATTGAGCAATAATAAAATTCAATTAAATAATAATTATTTTTATATATTTTAAAAGTATGTTGTTCATTTCGATATATATTAAAAATATTAAATAATTTATATTGATAGAATTTTTTATAAGATAATTTAGGGTAAATTACACTATATATACCCTTGTATAATTTTATGCTTTTTCAATTCACCTCCTATACTTTATATCGTTAAATCATCTTATACCTTTTTATGATAATTAAAAATATTATAGATATTAATATTTCAATCTTTAATTTTTTTTAAAAAAATTATTAGACTTTAATTTATGTCAATAAACTAATTTATTCTCTATCTCTCTCTTTCACTCACCCTATCCCAATACGAGACTTATCAGGTGATCAAAGAGCTATTTTTATAGAGTAAATCTCTAAAATGTAGAAGTTCAATATTTTAATCTTTAAAATTTTTAAAATTCTCTATTGATCTCTAACTTATAAGAATATATTTATATTAACCATTTTACTCCTTTTAAATATAGATATACATACATGTACAAATGGATGGATGAATCAAGTTATTCTAAAAAAAACAACCTTAAAGATTTTCTCCTAATCTTTATCTTTTATGTATTTTAATCCAATGATTTATATTATTTTGTGATTAGTATAGTTACTTGCAGTTGAAAACAACTTTTCCCAAATTCCTTTAACCTAATTGAATTTTTTAGACAAATTTATATTTGATTTATTTGTTTGATTTCAATGTGGTTCATTTAACAATTATGACGGTGAAAAATCACCATAACTAACCCCAAAAAAAAAAATTCATATTTTGTAACAGTAAAAGAAAAACTATCATAATTGATAGATAAAATCAAATTAAAACTAGATAAAAAGTAAAAAAAATAAAGACTTAAATCAAAATAAAATATATTTAAAATAACAATTTTGTCATTTTTTTATTCCAAAAAAACTGTACAAGAACGAAGTACGACAATTCTTCAATATCTGATGTTTCATCTCGCGGTTTGCACCTTTTTCACAATTTCATAAACTTAATTGAATTTCTTTCATTGGATAGAAATTGTGTCAGAACTCAGAAGTACTGTACTTTTGATTGGTTGAAAATAGCCCTAGTCGCTGTTGATCGATGATTGTTAAATTGTTGATGCTATCTTCTGCGTTGGTCCATCTTTAACTTCGTGCATGGTCTCAGAAATTTGGTCATGCGCACGATTATGGAATCTTGAAACAATCCTCAGTCTTTGTTATCAATAATTGCATGCAGTCTTTCCCTTGTTGTGTCTTTGGATAAGTGCCGCTTTGCCAAAGGATGCTTATCACAAATCACAAATATTAATATGATTTATATACATATTATATTAGCAGTAAGTCTTTAAAGTTATTCTTATTTCTCAGAACCTGATTGGTAATGGGATACACCAAAATTAATATGATATATATTTTAAGAATATAAAATATTAAGAATCTTTTATTTTATTGCATAATTTTAGTTTAATAGTTAGATTTAAAAATGTATTTATATAAATTAAGTTATATGTATGTATATGAGACATATTCTGTGAAAACGCGAGAGACAAACAAAATAAGTGAATCTTAATCATATAATTATATATAAATATCCATCATCTTTTAATTAATTAGTTTTAACTGTCTATTTTAATTATAAGATTGAGATTTTTACTACATGCTGTAATCTCTCATCTAATACGTTTATAATTCATACATGTGTACGTATTCATATACACTAAACAATGAATAATTTTATTAATAAAAAATTTAAAATAATAAGATTTTATTCAAAAATAAGTATTTATTGTATTAAAAAATATAGATATAATAAATGCCTTTTATATACCAATTTACTATTTTTTTAAAAATATTTAAAATCCACCTTGAGAAGTAAGTTAACATTTTTTTAATGATAAATACTAAGAGATTCTCGCAGAGCAGAAGGATACACAGTAAATACTCCATTAATTGCGTGAAAAATGAGGGAAGAGAGGCATAATCAGCGGAATATGAAAAGGAAAACCAAAACGAGTACATAATGATTTGTTCCTTTCATCTAACAACATTATACTGATCCCCTCAAAGAAAAATCTAACATGATCTTATTCTAAAACGTTGTAGGCACTAAATTCCAAAAGGGGTTCAAACCCAAAAGACAATTCCATGTGCAGGCAGAGATCTAAGTACATTTTCACCATCCAAATTAAGATAGATTCGTTTATCTTCTAAATTTATCATGTAGAAAAGTGGGAAGATCGCGCGTGAAAATATAAAATAGAGAGGGTAGAGACATTGAAGGAGAGAAGAAGAAAGGTGCCAAGAGAACATGTGATTTGTGGGATGGGACCATACTGACGTGAATGTTAGATGAGAATATTGGCGACCATGCATGCACAGTATACACAGACGTGTTGTAATATATTTGCTTGCAAAAGAGAAAGGAAAATGTATACAATAACCGTTTTCCTCACACTATGATTACATTAATAAAAAAAATAATGAAGCAAAGAAATGAAAAATGATAGGTGGTGTGAAACATACTAGAATAAAAATTATATTTCAGATTGTGAAAAAAATAGATTATTGAAGAATTTTATCGTCAAACCATCTAATACCAAAATTAGTTTAGATTAACTGAGTACAAAATTAGTTTCGAGACACACCAATGAAACTATAATAATATGTCTATCATGCATATTTAATTAATTTTTTTTTTCTCATCTGATTTACGAATCTAATCTAAGTCGCGTAATTAGATATGGAAAGTGAGTCTTTAACATTTTTTACAAACATAAAAATTTAAATTCAAGACTTTGATACTAAATCACTTATTACTTAGACCAACTTTTGATATTAATTATTTTATTGTTCTATATAGAGTTATAGTTTCCTTTCGAAATATATTATTCTTAATTTTCACGACTACAATTCTTACATTTGTTTTTGGGGTGAACAATTACGATCTTTTCTTTTTGTGGGTTAAGAACAACTACGAGTCCTGCATCAAGTAATAAAATCACCTTCCACTTTGATAAAAATGTGTTGATCGTTTCTTGTGTTTTTGGTCCACACGACAATTTGCGTGTTCTTGTATATTTTGTCGTGGACAATGTGTTTGCTTAATTCCACGAGGCACGAGCGCTCAAACCTGATATACGAAGGCTTACCCATTTCCGAAGACAACGTCATCCATAAAACTTCAAAGTGGGCCTTCTTATATATGGCTGTTCTGGTCCCTTGGGCCTGCTCCTTCTGTTTTTCTTGGGTTTTCCCTTTGGGCCCCCTGCATCCATTATCAAATGATTCAAAAGAAAAATCCTACAGCACACAAATGTGGCTATCTACCAACTTCCATTAGCGCACTTGTGGTGAACAACATAACAAAGTTTCACTGAATTATTTCTCTTCATTACATTGATTTCCAATACCCGAGTGGCGTGTGCCTTTTTGGGTCATGATAAAAAAAATGTGGCTAGCTACAAACTCCCATTTTTATTACTTTTCTAAATCCTCATTTGATCCTGGTTTTCATTTGTTTTGATAAAATTTTTACCTCGTTTCTTATTATTTTCTGAAGGTTACTTCATTTCTCATTAACATTAAAAATAAAAGTGAATAGCATTTTCTAAAATATATCAGACCAATAAATATTTTAGAAAAAGGAATTAGATTGATCTACCTAGAATTTTGAAGACAAATTATGAGGCTCTCAGTATGCACAGCCCACTTCCACTGTTCCACCTCTCATTTCTGATTTAGATGATAAAGTTTTATAATAAGAAAGTAACAGAAGAAAACATGAGACGTAGATAACTCAATTGAGATGTCAAATTTTAATTGGTGAAAGAGGGTTTAGGATTGGAAAGTGAGACAAAAAGTTTAAATTCACGTTCACATGGCGCAATTAAGTGAGAAAAGTGACCCTATGTTTTATTACACCTCCTCCACGTACTTGTGTTTCGTTCTCCATCTCTCTCTGTACTCTATATATTTAACACTTTACTCAATAACATCTTACGTTGATAACAGAATAATTGAAGGTTAACATGGCTCAGAGGAAAGTGGGTCACCTTGAAATTAGTGGGGCAAAATTTTTTGCTTCATTAACACTACTCGTTCTCCACCTTGTCCAAGCAACCCTTTTACCTCACATTTCGGAGCATGCACACCGCAGTGACGGCGCGTTTAAAATCGTGAGGGTTCGCAAAGACGGTGCAGGGGACTTCAGGACGGTGACGGAGGCCGTTAACAGCATTCCGTCAGGGAACAAACGGCGAGTGGTGGTGTGGATCGGCATGGGCGAGTATAGGGAGAAGATAACGATTGAAAGGTCGAAGGCGTTTGTTACGTTTTATGGAGAAAGAAATGGGAACGACAATGACATGCCCATCATAACGTACCACGCAACGGCATTGCAGTATGGAACAGTGGATAGCGCCACCGTCGCTGTTGACTCCGATTATTTTGTTGCTGTCAATGTTGCCTTTGTGGTACGTTTCACTTTTTCTTTTCCTTTTCTTTATTCGTGTTAATGGAAGAACAATTCAGGAAAGTATAATGTAATGTACATGCCACATTATTTTTTTACATATTTTATCTTGCAACTTCTTACTTTTAGACATGTTGCAAAGTGTGGTTTTATTATCTGTCTGTATATTAAAACAAAATTCTATCACCATTTTACGTAAAATTGAATCTTAATCTTAATTTTAATTACTAATTCATTTTTTATATTTTTTAATTATAATATATATATATATATATATATATATTACTATAGTTATATTAATAAAATATGTATTTATGATCTAATAATTAAAATTTTTACTACACGCTAAATAATATTTTTTTTATAACTAATCAATAATATTTTATTATTATATGTTAGAATGAATTCATAACTAGTAATATAAATTGATTATTAACAATATTAAACAAATATCTTTTTTAAATATAATATATGTGTATATTATAATAATTTTTTTAATTTAAAATTATAAAACTTATTCATTATTTTAATCAAAATTTTATCCTAATTTTAACACCTTTTTTTCTCTTCAATTACTATGTATATACTTCTAATACACTAATTAATATTTTCATAATGTAATAAAATATTTTATTAAATTAATAACTAAAATGACATTATTTATATAAAAAAAACATTTTGATAAAATTTGTTAATTTTTAATCATCTATTTTCTAAAAAAAATATGATTTCTTTGAAAAAATAATCTTAAGAAGTGATTAAATTCTTATATATATTTTTTTTGTCATGTGTAATAACAAACGAATAACAATAATAATAATTTTTGTCCACGTTACACATGCATGCGCATGTATACACCACGTAGACATGATTAACATTTTCCTCCACTAGTATGCGTTCTTGGATGGGTTGATACATATATATATACACGGTTGCTGCCTTTATTCTCATTTTCTTTCTCTTTTGATTTTATATATATGGGTAATGAATTAAATTATTTTTCTTGAAACAATTTATCATTAATTCTTATTGATCTGGTCAAACTTGAAATATAACTGTGGCATAGTTTAGAACTCGTCTCCTATGCCAGATGAAAACAGTGTTGGAGGACAAGCATTAGCCATGAGGATATCGGGGGACAAGGCTGCATTCTACAACTGCAAGTTCATTAGCTTTCAAGACACTTTGTGCGATGACAAAGGCAGGCATTTTTTCAAGGATTGCCACATTCAAGGCACCTATGATTTCATCTTCGGAAATGCAAAATCTATCTACTGGGTATCATCCTATTATATTATTTATTAAATATATATATATATATATATACACCCACAAGGGTTTCTAATTAATTGATTTCCAAATATTATTGTGTTTAAAAATTAAAGATTTCATTAATTTTGCTATAGTCATGATGTGCAATGCATTTGTGTGTGTAGAGAAGTACCATAGAATCGGTTGCAAAAGGTTTGAGTGTTATCACAGCACAAGGTAGAGAAAGCAGGGCAGAAGACACTGGTTTCAGTTTCGTGCACTGCAACATAACGGGAAGTGGTAACAGGAACACATACCTTGGGCGTTCTTGGAAAAGGAGCCCCAGGGTTGTGTTTGCCTACACTTACATGGGCTCCCTCATCAATAGCCGAGGATGGTTCCGCAGACACCCTAAAGCCAAGCACAAACTCAAGCACAACCGGTAGGTTTTAGCTGTACCCTCTATATAAGGATTTGTCTTAAGTATTTAATCAGATAAATCAACTAATGATATCTTATATTTAAAAATAACTTAAGATGGAGATATTTATTTTATAAAATCATTTAAACAAACTCTCGAAACAAAGTCACCTATTTTCTCTACAAATATCATTGTTCAAAATAGTTGAAATGTGAAAACACGACTTTTTTTTCAATTTACATATTCACAATGCTTTTCTTTTACTATTACACTTAACCTTATCACTCATTTTATTTAATATAGTTATCTCTTCTCTTTTCTTTTTCCTCATAAAAAATCATTAAAATAAATAAAAAGAGAATAGCATTACTCAAACACATATACACGTCGATGGTACTCACTATAGCTGTTTGACAGAGTGTGGTAGATATTTACATTAATGTAATTTTCATTTATTTTAAAATTATAAAATTTAATCTCAAACTTTTTAAATAAAAATCACAGATTTTACTGTAAATATTTTTAAATTAATTTAAACACATGTTTAAATTACATGAAATAATTGAAAATCATCAATTCTATCAAGATGGATTCTACCAAAGGAGCACTTCAATTACTGAACAACAGACATTGCTTTAGTCATTTAATGCATGCGGTGTATTGAGTCATATGATTTTAGGCGATAGTAGCACCTACCAGCAACTATTGTTAATTAATTATTTTGGCTTGTGAATTTGAATTTGTTTATAGGACAATCTTCTACGGAGAATATAAATGCATGGGACCAGGAGCTGCTTCCTCTGGCCGCGTAAAATTTTACAGAAAACTATCCTACAGACAGGCAAAGCCCTTCATGAGCATGGCTTTTATTCATGGAGGAAAGTGGGTTGTCCCACCTCCCAAGCTGTGATACAAATATTAAACTGCGCATGTGCCAATTAATATAAGAGAAAATTCACATGTATCTATCATGATTGTACGTGTCTGCTAGTGTGACAAAGTGTTACGTAAAACTTTGAAGACTTTGTTCTGTGTTGTACTTGATTGTTGTGATAACGCCCTTACATATAGTAATGTGACGTAAGATATGTTGTACACATTAATTTCCTCTAATACGATGAAAGTATGGCCATAAGTTCTTCGAAAATGAACAAAGTGGGACGATCTGAAGACAGCTAGACAGGGCCATTATTCTCAGTGACGTTGTAATTATCGACTTACCATATGTATATGCATTATTAATAAATAGATTGCTAAAAAAATAAAAAAAGCTAGCTTTAGAAAGTTATAATTTTTTTTTCATAATTCGAGTTGAGTCACACACTTAAATATAGTGAATAAGTTTATTACTAAAGATTTTTTATATACATAAAAATTCAAATTTAAAATTTAATTTAAACAATACCGAATCACGTGTCACTTATACTAATTTCTATTATCAATTTCTGTGTATTTTTTATGATTTATTTTTTAGTTAACAACTGTGTAAATTATTTTTATAATTATAATTTTTATGTTTTAAATATTTACTTAAATTGAAAAAACTTACATAATTTACAATATACTTATCAGTTGCTCCATATATTAATTTGCAGAAAATTTATTGAAAAGGATTGGAGAAGGACATTTCAGAGTAGTTGTAATTTTCAGACAAAACCCTACAAATTCGTTTCTGATAGAAGATAATGTTGCAGCATGTTGTATCATAATGAATCAACAAACAACAGATATAAAAGATGGTCCAAGAGATTTTACCGATATATACTCTTATAATGCAGGATTTATCTTTTTCATACTTTAATAAAAGTATTTTGTTAATTTCAGTATAAAGATAAACAGCTAATAAAAATTTTATTAAAAAAAGTATTTATTATATTTTTATAACTTTAATATAATAATTGTATTTTTTTTATAAAAATTTTTATAGGTTAACAAAACCTATAATAAAATTAGAGACACTTTGATTTGCTAACTAAAAACAACAAAAAATAAGAAAGATAAAATTAAAATTTGATATTTTAAACAAACACTTGATGATGATAATAATAATAATAGAAAAATATTTGTATACCTGTAAAGATTAAAACTGCCATTTTTTTTTATCAGTAGATAAAAATAGACCGTAAACGGAAGAAGCCCTGTGCACGACTTCATAAGCATTGATATTCCTAAGCCCATTAAACGAAAACTGGCTACAAGCCCAATAAGTAGCGGCATAGATCAGTGTTTGCTCATGGGCTTTTAACAAAGATAAAAGTGCATGGGTCATGGCCGAAAAATGAGGACATGTTTGTTCATCATCATCAATAAATAAATGAATAATAAATATTAAACGAATAAAATACGAAAGATCTTCTTAGCAATCGCATTATGCTCCCATCCATCATGTGCACAGAGGAGATACAGAGAATAAAGGATGCTTTATTTTGAATATATCAACAACACTTTAATTATTGCTTACTAAATAATATATAGGTGGGACAGCTCAAGACGAGATTTGATTGAAGATTATGTTGCAGAAGCACATGATGATCAGATTCTACTTCACAGCAACGCCCATTTTAATCTTAGACTACAGAATTACTTTAAGTTTATATCATTTTAATCTTTGTTTTTAAAAAACTAGTTTAGTTTAGTTTTTTATTAATTTTTTGTTTGATAATTAAAATTAGAATAAGGTTGAAAATTATGGAAATTGATATTTACAATTTTAAATACTGAAACAAAGATTTTCTCTTTCCCTTGTTTTTCTTTTGAAAGAATAAAAGAAGGAACATTATGTTTATGAAGATGTGTACACGGAAGGTTCTGTTTTTCTATTTTGCAAGAGCTTCAGAAAGGTTGCCACTGAAATCTGAATTTGAAGAAGTCAGCACCGACATTGAAATCACATTAGAGGTGAACAAAGCCTTAATTAGGAGAATGATGGCTCATTAAATAGTAAAGCTTGTCTATTTGAATAAAAAAAACGTATTTGTTATACAATTTCTTTACACAACAAAGTGTATAATAAAGAGATACATAGAAGAAGAAGAAGGAAAATAAGGTAATTAACGAATGGAAATAAAGGAAAAATAATATTATATAAAGAATTATTGTATGAATAATAAAACACATTTGAATATGTTAGCAAAGTACATGTATTAAGAGACCATTCAATGCAGTTCTTATACCAAAGCATTGAGTACATGGAAGTATAACAACTGTCCTACAAGCAAATTGTGGCAAATCTTTCTAACTGGGGTACTCTATCATTGTCCACATCTGAAATCAAAACAAAGAAGATGGGCAAACCTCTTTTACACTTGAAACCAGCTCTATAACTTCACCTCTATAAAGATCAGAGTAATTACTTATTATTCCGTAGTACCTGTGTTTGCAGCTGCAATTCCACCAAGAGTCTGAAAGTTAGTTAAAAAGGGAAGGGTTATATTATTGCACACCACATTGCTACACCATCTTTTACACTTCCCTTGTTTCCGAAATAGAAAAATCAACAGAATGCCTTAGAACGTATGTGAGAAGTGCTGTAAGAAATGTTACAAGAAAAATGGTGTAGAAATTTAATCATTGGAAAGGGTAAAAAGAACAAACAACAAAGACAAAAATTTCCCCTCCTCTTTTTCTCCCCCTTTACCATTTCCTTAAAGAAAGTATTTTTCAAGCTTTATTGGCTAATTCTATATTGTTAATATATGAAATGATATTAAATAAAGTAATAAATTAAACTTACTGGAGCTGTCATCATGGTTCTCCATGCAATTCAATAGGTATTTAAAAGTCTCAATCTCACATGGAATAGTGAGTCCACCACTCTGGTCAAACCCAAATTCTTCTGCAGCCTTTTCCAGCAACACCTTGAACAAAGAGTGGCTTAGGTAACTTGTTGGAATGATAAACCTTCGAAGCTCTGGCCCTACATAGACAGCTAAATATCCTTTGGGAACATCATGTGGTGCTTTAGGGCTGTGACAGCTATCATCATCCGAGTCACAATACATGACATTTGTTAGCCTTTTGTTAATCATTGGTGATATGCCCCCATGATTCACCCTAGAATGATCATTTGACTCTTTTGAGCCCAAGGTAACAGTTTGCCACTTCTGAAACATTTCCTTTAGTCTTGCAATCTGCTTAATCCCACTCAATTTGGACCCTCCAGCACCATCCATTGATGTAAAACCTAAGGCTACACCAAACTGAAGTGTCTTCAGATGTTACACTAATTGCAGAAATATACATAAAAGTGTAAGTCAAATCTTCAAAAACTAAATAAGGCTATCATGTTTTTCTACATTAGCTGACAGCATATTTTAAAATATTAAAAAAATGCAGAAAGAAAATATAGACTGAGATTTAAGAACAATCACAAATAACTAGAAGGAAAACATTCATTGATCATTTCATCCAAGAAAAGCTATAGATGTTTTCACATATAAAATTTGTATGCTTTTCTCATCATATGTAAGGCATAAATTTTCTTATTAGCTGGTTGCCAAGATCCCCACAGATCCATACACCAAACAAGAGGAGGAAACATGGTCACTAATCGATAGCAGCATGAAACATGAAGTTTATAAATTATCCAAAACTCCAAGGTGACATTTAGCAGAAACAGGAATAATTGATGGTGATCTTTGAATTGGCATTCCAAACATAATTATAGGGGGGAAAATGAATGAATGAAGAGATTGATACCTGATACAGAAGAGACTATTATCTGTGAATGAATGCAAAAGGAAGCTCGAGATAAGACATGCACTTTTGCTTTTACAGGCTTCAACTATGATGAAGCATGGTTGGAGAAAAAAACTAAATCTTTTATGTATTGGTATTGTGGGGTTGTATTTCTTTTCTTTTCTGTTCCCTGAAGCTGCACTCTTGGAATATCTGTTTTTCAATCTCATCCACCAAACAACCCAACCGTTATATATACAGTTTCAGCCCGAACTATTAACAAGAAGAAGTATTAAACTAATCTTGTTCAGATTGCTAAATTATGATCTCTAAATTAAGAAAGAATATATTTTAAAGATGTTTTTTTTTTCTCTCTCTTGCAAAACTATAAAATTCAAGGTGTCACGTATGTATTGTTTTTTCAAAAATCATTTATACAAATAATACTCCCTTTAAATTTTGTTAATTTAATTTAAACATTATAATATGTTTTAATTTTTAGGTTTCAAAACATAAACAAATAAATTACTGACATTTAATCAGTATTCTTGAGTTGGAGATCTTACTAAACTTAAATAAAATTGTTTTTATGAAAAAAAAATATATTCTAAAAATAACATAAATAAATAAAATTACAATTTTAGCAACCATTACAAAAGGCGTTTCAAGTTTTTCTAATCTAAACTAAATTTAAATTATTTGAAGAAACACAATGTTGTTACTTTTTAATTTAATTACAATGTACTAATGAGGTAAAATATTGTCTAATGCAAGTGTAAGTTTTTAATACTAACTTTACGTGAAATTTTAATTTAATCTATCATTCCTTGAAAATGAAGTAATTTAATCATTAATGTGTGTATATAACTTTTCAAAATTACTTGTATTATACACATAAAATATATTTGTCACAATAAAATTTAAATTTATGTATTTTTGTAAACTATATAAAATTTTTCTAACTTATTTCTCTCTAATTTTGTAAATATGTCGGTGATTCCTTTTGGATGGCTTTGATCTATCTGACATATAATTAAAGGTGTCCAGTTTAATTGAATTGTAAGAGTCTTATTTTTCTTACAAACCAGGTTGTTTAGAATGATAGCAAGCAACAGAGACTTTAGTTCCCACTTCCCAATCATGTCTTTCCAACATAAGTTAGTATATCGTGAGCCTGCTATTCTTTTTCTTTTGACTAAATTATTAAATTTGTAACTATCACTTATTTTAATATTTGAAGTTATAAAGAAATAATCCTTGAAAACAACTTAGATACACATCTTAATCACATTAGTTTTAATATCAAAGATCTATCAATTTGATTGCTTACTTTAATAACTATCAGTCAATTTAGCTTCATTTATTTTGGTGCCAAACTTACTGCTTGCACTTCTGAATAAATAAATAAATATATATATATACACACAATTCTGTGGATGGCATTAATTTAGCTACACATCTTGATTGCAATCAACAATTCAAAATCAATTCCACCAACCTTAAAAAAAATAAATCAGTTTGATCTTTAACATTAAAGACCAAGTCAACTGGGAATTGTTAAATTTTGAAATAAAATTGACTGATTTTATGATATTAAAGATTAAGTTAATTGATTATGTTAAATGTCATATATTAAATTAAATGATAATTACTAAAATTGGAGATTAAATTGATTGATGCATAGTTAGTGTATTCCTCTCATTCTTTTCATGGATGTGATAAACAAGTCAGTGCCGACGCAAGTTAAGTAACATCAATTAGTTTTTGTGGTCCATAAGTTTTTGGGCATTATGGCCCAAATTAAGTAACGTGATGAAAAAGTTGGTGACAATTTAATGGTTGGGCTTTTGGGCTTCGGGGGTTAATGGGCCTCGGAAGTCTCAAATCTCTCTGTTTGGAAAGTGGAAACTTTGTTCTCCCTGTTTCGCAACTCAATTAAACTCAACAGTGTCTCGTTCTTTGTTTCTATCATGCTTCTGCATCCGCGGCTCCTATAAGTGGTGCATCTTTCGCCCTTTCACGATAGACCTAAATTTCTCGAATTGTTCCTTTTTTTTTTCGCTGGAGCGAAAATCCTTTTTTATTTTTTTTTTCATCTGCAATTTAGGGTTTCTTAAACCCTAAAATCACTATGCTATATTCAAGACTAGCTAGAGTCGGAGCTTCGATCGCTAAAAACATCTACACAAGTACTTTCACTTTGTTAATGTTATCTATATCTACCATCTATATATATTTCTTCTTCCTATGATATCGTAATGTGCATAACATGATAATCGTGTTGAACATATAATTCAAATAATCTAGTTCCTTTCTTTCTTTCACTTTGACAGGGACTTACACATCCTTGTGTAGAGTAGGATGTCCTCAAAGTGCTAGATATCATTACCTGCAACCTCCGGTTAGTCATTTATTTATTTTTTAACAAGTGGACAATGCCCTCGAAGTGAGGGTTTTTTAATAATTGACATTTTAAATATTTGTAAAATAGGCAACTGTATGGGAAAATGTTTGTGCAACTTATAAATTTTAGAAATTGTGTGTAACTTTGCTTCTGGATTACTTGAGAAATTGGCTTATTCAATTTTTACTTTCTTATGGGATTGACTTGTGCTTACTCTTTTTTTTTAAGGGTAGTTTTTTTTTTCTTTTAACAGTGTCAAGAGCATTCATTTACTAATTTATGCAAGGGATCCATGATTGTAAGTCATAATTTCCTTTCAACGATGACTACTAACAACACTACTGAGGATGGGAGCGAACAAAAAGAAATGTAAGTTCTTTTATTTGAGATGACAGATTCTGTGGGAATATGCTATCCTTTTGTAAATATTTCATGGCGATTCAAAATCATGGAATTGGTTGTGTTTGTGTTATAATTGCGGATGCCTAGGAATGTTGATTATATAGATCATTTCACCATTGTTTTGTTAAGAATATTGGCACTTACAAGAAAAGACATTTAAGCACCCGGGCAAAATTAGAAAAATTTTGTAGTGTTGATGTTATATTTTGACACACCATGTGTTCACTTTGCACTAATCGTTAACTCATGATTTCTTGTTTCTAGCTGAGCACGATTTGGTCATTGAACAAGGACTCTTCAATGTTATAAAGTGGTGGCCTTTTCTCTTATTGTCAAGTTTTTACCTAGATAAGTTGCTGTTGAGAGTAACAGTCTAAGTTCAGTGGCTGTGTGTGTACTTCATCATACAGCATATGCAATATTTTGATCACCAAAATGGAAGGCTTAAGAACTTTCCTTATGCAGAGGAGCTTTTTTGGGAATTTATTTTTATTTTACCTCAAATGATTAAATTTTTCATAGCATTTGAGATCTCCGAAATGCATAGAATGTTGATGTCACATAGTTTAGCACTCTGCTTTACCCTTACAGACATATTTTGTGTGCATCCAACTAAGATTTCATGTTTTTCGAAATGCGTAGATTTAATGCTTGAGTCTCATCCTTTAAACAAAAGGCAACAATAGCAATCGTTGAGCCTCAGTTGTTGCAGCACGTCACACATTCTTTGGATAAATTTTCCATTCCAATTTTCGTGTTAGATGGCAAGAATTCCCCTACTTATTAATTGCTGAACCGGCTTTCTAATCGTCCGTGTTAATTTGGTTTGCCTTAGGTGTTAGGACAGATTTCATAATTACTGTGGTATCTTGTCCATATATTTTTTAAGATGAAAATAGTGCATCATTGAGGAACAAAAAAAATTGCACATTTGTCATTCTGCTCTTTACATTTTTAGACAACATTATGCAGGATATCTGTAACTTTTATTGATAAAGATGGCGAGGAAAAGCATATCAAAGTTCCTGTTGGAATGTCAATGTTAGAAGCTGCTCATGAAAACGACATTGAACTAGAAGGCAAGAGCTTTTGTTTTAGAGTTCTATTATTTCGCCCCTAAATTATTAGACTTCTGAATACCGCTCAGTTTTTTTTTATGTTTGATGGAACAGTTTGGTGTTATTTGTAATTTGGTCCATCTAGCCCACCCTACCTTGTAGGAGAATATTTTTGTTGTTGGTTGTTCTTAAAATCACTTTTCATTCTGGTAGCGTGTTTTGGGTGAGGCTTTTGCATAGGAAAAAGCTCCCTTTCCTCATGATTGATATGATGATCCTTCTCATGCGCCACATTATATTTCGATATGCATCCTCAATTACCTTATGCTGTCATTTGCTGAAGCGGCATAGCATATTCATTATTTATTTAGCTTACATTTCCTTTTTGCCTTTGATGATTTCTTACTTGATGTTGCTGCAGGAGCATGCGAGGGCTCACTTGCTTGTTCAACTTGTCATGTTATAGTCATGGTACATCATGGGTGATATATTGCAACAAAATGCTGCTTGAACCTATTTTTTTAATTATTATTTTCAAAATTCTGTTTTCCATTTATAAGACTGTCAAATTATTCAACTTTGTGTAGGATGTAGAACATTACAATAAATTAGAAGATCCAACAGATGAAGAAAACGATATGTTGGATCTAGCTTTTGGGCTTACTGAAACGTAGGTTTCTTGTCCATGAGCTTGGGAATAGAGATTTTCATTTTTCGTTTTTGACCCCCTCAAGTTCCTAGACTAATTTTGGCAATCATGCAGATCACGTCTGGGTTGCCAAGTGATTGCGAAACCTGAACTTGATGGAATCCGGTTAGCTATTCCTGCCGCCACACGGAACTTCGCTGTTGATGGTTATGTGCCGAAACCACACTAGTTATACTTTATTTTTTTGGATTCAGTACAAAGAGTGCAGCTATCTCAGTTTTGTAGCCTCACTGATTTAGATAAATTAGCATTTATTGATCACAGGCATGATTTTTGCTGCTTTTATTTTTCGTGTTCCCTGAGCACCTCTGTATAACAAACCATCGAGATCAAGATAGGAATGTCCACAGGATACATTTTTGCTTGCTAATAATAAATTGTGATGTATTATTTGATTGTACCCGTAACTTCTGGTTAAACATCTAAATATTTAAATGAATAAAATGAATGGAGGTCAAAAATATGTGCAATCTTGGATTTTCGACTATTGCTTCAAGTCGAACTGATTTTGAGCCATAATTCCGCGACGAAATAAGTTCCTACAAGCCACGATAGCTTTGTTTGCATCCTTGAATATGTTTTTTGATATTTGACCGTTTGACATTTGCCTGTCGTCAAAGATTTAAATTTAACGTAAATTCTTACCCGAAAACGCAACCAAAACTACTCGGGAAATATTAATATAAATTAACATTCTTCTAATATAACAATTTGAAATGAACTGTTTATTTTGCCTGTATTCAGGAACGCGATGCCTCAGGTGCATCCTTTTCATTTTTCATTTTTCATTTTTCTGATGTTAAGACGAGTTTGAGATCTTCGGATAAGGAAAAATGCCAGAAGGGCTATGAAGAAATATATCTCCAGAATATAGAACTTTAAAATAACAATTACGTAGTGTATGTAACTGTGACCTTGAAACTCATCCCAAAATCTGCATTAAGCACAATGACTGGGCATATAAGAATGATGCAAAATTGATTTTGTTCCAACCAGACTTCTATGAAACTTGAACTCTAACCATTAACCAAACCAAAACAGTACCTGTAATTAGATTCTTTCATACGCGAAGAAGCAATGAGAAAGAAAAAAGTCCCATCGTTGAATAATCTTTCAGCTGAGCTTCTTGAGAATATTGGAGGCCCAACGCTTCACACGTCCCCTCAGCGTGTAACCAAAAACCACTCCAGCAACAAAACAAATCGCACAAAGCTTTGAACATGTCCAGTAAGACACCGCTTGTCTGCAATAAAACACACAATTAGCTATCTCAAACCCTAATCGATAACAAACAGTGATAAACAACTAATTAGGACCAAATAGCCACAGCAATTTCCACAGCAACCACAGAATCATTATTTCAAAATTCAAAGTACAGTTTCAAGATAATCGCAGAAACGCCTTTTATGCCACAATGACTGTTGGCAATTACTAAAAGATGGTTCAGAAATGAGAAATGATTCTGAGGCTGAAGTAAGCAGAGAGATACCTGGGAGGTCTTGTGGCCAAAACAATAGAGGAATCGCGAGGCGCTGCTGCACCGACACGATCGTAGCTCAACGACGATTTGAGGTCGCCGTTTACCTTTCCGAGAGAGAGTGTGTTCTGAGTAGAGTCCATCGCTACAGTAGGCGCTCAAACGACGCTTCAACAATGCCGCTTTAACACTTTCAACTTTTTTTCTAGTTTAGTATCGCCGCATCTAAACGACGCCGTAATAACAGCCAAGAATGCATTCCCCCCGCTTAAATGGTAACACTATAGGATGTGTTTGCAACGGTGAAAATAAATAAATTTGAAATATAAGGAAATGTGACAAAGTTTATTTTTTCTATTTACACTAGTTTTATTTCTCCTATTAGGCATGATTGGATCATTTACCAAAAAACTTCTATAAAATTTACCTATGAATAAATTCACCTTTTACGTGTAGACCGTTTATGTAATATTTTTATAAAAATAATCATATTTACAAAAACAACTAAATAAAATTAAACCATTAAAGGGTATTCACAAAAACAATTTTCAATAATATATTATTATTATTATTATTATTAACACAACAACTATAATAGGTTTTTATAATCAGTAAATGTACTACGCATCATGAAACAAATAAATTCTCAAGGATATTGATTAAATAATTTTTATTAAAAATTCAGATAAAAATGTATTATTATTATTTTTTAATAAAAAATTAATTTCTCATAACATTAATTTCAGGAATACAATTTAATCAACAAAAAATTAAGAATCTTGATAAAAAAAGAAGTACAGAGGAGATTAAGTAAATGAAAAATATATTCTTAATCGAATGATCCGCATGATTTTAGAAGCTAAACGATTCCCACAACAATAAATGTACATTATTCATCAAAATAGGAAATATTTTTATTTGGTTTCTCTATCACAAAATATGCAAAACATTTACTTAAACTGTTAAAACTACTGAACTTGCATCGACCGTGGAACAGCCTGACGGTTAAAGTTAAAGTGTAAAGCAGAGAGAGGTTGCTGGGGTCAGAAATTGTCCACGCCAGAGAGCCAATCTTCTGTGATCACAACATTCCTTATCTCTCTCTCTCTCTTCATCCTAAGACTTAAGAGGAAGCACAACATCTTGTGATCTTATACCATATCGTTTTTCATTGTCCCTCACTCACTCATCCATGGCTTCCCTCACTACCCCAAACCACTATCTTCCCACCTTCATTCGCTCTCACACTCCCAACTACCCTTCTTCTCAAAACCTCCCACTTCCTCCCACCTCATCAATTTCTCAATTTTTCGGCCTCAAGCTTTCCCATTCTTCCTTTTCTTCTATCCCTTCTTCTTCTTCACACAAAGGCTCCATTTTTGCCAAGGTACATTCACTCACCCCCATAATCACGTTTTTTGGTAATTCCTGTTTGCATTTTTTTTTTCTTTATTTTTTTGTTTTTTTTGTTTATATTCACTTGACAGGTGAATAAAGGTTCAAAGCCACCCAATTTTACTCTGAAAGATCAAACTGGAAAGAATGTGAGCCTCACCAACTTCAAAGGAAAACCGGTAGTTGTGTATTTCTACCCTGCTGATGAGACCCCTGGCTGTACCAAACAGGTAAACATTATGTACAACTGTATTGTATGAATATCATAGTTTTAATTTGATTAGATTCTACAGTCCTGGACCTGATGCTGCTAGCTTTAAAAGATTAAAAGAATGTACATCAAGGGTGCGATTGGATAGTTTAAGTGTTTATTTAAAAAGCTCTTTTAAAATAATGAAATTTATTTTGATAAGATACTAAGAAGCTTATTGAAATAAGTTGTAAAGAGTTGAATCATAAGCAGTTTTTTGGCAAGCCATTGGCAAGTTCTTTCAAATTATGCCTATGTTATTATTTATTAATTTTATTTTTATTGCAGGCTTGTGCTTTCAGGGATTCATATGAGAAGTTCAAGAAAGCAGGAGCAGTGGTTATTGGAATAAGTGGTGATGATCCTTCGTCTCACAAGGTAAAAATCAAAACTTTCGCTGCTGTTTTTTTTATTTTGTTTTTTTTTGGGGGGGGGGGGAGGGGTGGTAATTAATCACCATACTATTCTTATACTGATTCATTGCACGGAATGTAGGCATTTGCCAGCAAGTACAGACTTCCATTTACATTGTTGAGTGATGAGGGTAACAAGGTGAGGAAAGAGTGGGGAGTGCCTGGTGATTTCTTTGGAGCATTGCCTGGGAGAGAGACTTATGTTATTGACAAAAATGGGGTGGTTCAGCTTGTATACAACAATCAGTTCCAACCAGAAAAGCATATTGATGAGACCTTGAAACTACTTCAGAGCCTCTGAGGCTTCTGATTCTTTTCTTTTCTATCTCCCTTGGCTTGATTTAGAATCAGACAAGTATGTAACTATGAATTTTAACTGTAATTATTTAGATGATTTTGGACCCTTTCATCACATTCACATGGAGGTGTTAATGTCTATTCTCCTATAGAGAGCAAACATTTATAACCTCTCCGGATGGAAATTGTGTATCTTTTGCGTATTGTAATTAAATTTAGCTTCAATTTGCAAAGTGATCATCTACTGTAGTTTCTATTATGATTTGAATTTTCTACTTGAAAGAAGGTTCAGTAAAATATATAATTTATTTGAACAACTCGAGAGCATTTAAAAAGCATTTAGTCCTCCACATTTAAATAAAACTTAACCTTAATTTTTTTCACCCATATTTTAAGGGACCACCAAGCTGACTACTAAGATATTTCTTTCTTTGAGAAGATGCAGTTATTTTTTCTTATTATTCTACTACTAATTATGCAGTTACTAAGAGAACAGTTGTAAGCTTATATATTCAATCTTCCTTTTCATAGTCTTCAATACTGTAGGGACCAAATGCTTCGGATATCCAGTTCTTCTTTCTCCAGGAACTCCACCCCAAATCCTTACATATTTCATCACTGTGGTTGATGCTGTAAGTGGAAATGCAGTGCCTCTTATAGAACCTAGTTGACCTTTTCATTACTTCTATTTCCTTAAGTGTTTCTGAAAGCATGCTCTCAACACTTGGGAGCTTGAATTTGTCATCCACGAGTCCAGAAAGCCACATGGAACGTAGCTCTGATGAGTGAAGATTTGAAACACTCTCAACATAACCCACAAAAGCCATGTTTGGAATCAATGGATGGATGGTTCCCCTGGCAAGATTAGCATGACTTAACTATTAGTTCTCACATATTTTTGCATGAAACCAAATGCAATGAATTGAAAGAGTTCTTCTTACCTATATAAAGGCATTATACTAGAAGGGTACTCCAAGAGGCTACGAAAAGGCTCTGGCAAAATGGTTTTGAGCTTTTTCTTTCCATCAAAACCAGTTGCAAGAACCACTACATCAGCCTCCAGTTTAGAGTTGTCTTCAAATTCAATCCCTTCATTCCAAAACCACCACTTTGATGCTTTTTTAAAGACAATTTTTCCCTTTTCAACCTCAGAGAAGAAGTTTTCTGGCATAATGGCCATTTGACAAGATGCATAATCTTCCACAAAAGGGTGTTCTGGCTTTAACCCATACTTCTCTAGTGGAAGTTTCCACAGAAGGTAGGACTCAATGAACTTTGAAATTCCACGCCTCTGTTGTAAGCCATTGCATATAACATAACAAAAATGCATTAGCTATACTTGTAACAAGTAACAACCGTAACATTTATTAAGGGCTCTAAGTTAATTTTACCAATGGTGATAACATGAGACAGAGAAGGGTTCTGAGCAAGCCCTGATTTGGTCTTTCATGCATGAACTGAGAAGATCTTGTTGAGTAAAACAAGAAAAATGGCAATCCCCAAATCCAGTAATGAGGAACTGTCCAATGCAAAGTCCTTGCCAACATGGTACACGGTTGTCCTTCAGGTCCTTCAGAACAAGTCACCACCAACGTTGTTATGCATTTTGAAATTTAAGAAACAAGAAGGGCAGTACAAAAAAGAGTTGTCATTGTTACTAATGTTCTTTGTCTTCAAAATTCTTTAAATATTTTATAGTAAGCTATGAAACCCCCAAAACATTATTTAAGAGATAAGTATGTATTATTTAATTGAAAATTCATAAAAGAGGTTGGAAATTCTCTTAATTAATAAGTAATACAATTATAATATGTTATATGTTATGGGAGAAAATTATAAAATTAAAATTAATAAGTTTTATATAAATAATAATAAGACTTGTTAAAACAAGAAAAAGAATTATGATGAGACAATTCAAATTAAAATAATGGGGAAAAAACGATTATATTGCTTTCCTACATATTATTTATCCAAGTTAGTCAATGGCTTGAGTTAACCAAAATTTAGTGGAGTTTTCGTATGATAGTTCAAAGATTGCCACACGTGGCTCTTGTTTCTGTGGGTAAGAGAAAAGTTGGAATCCGTCGTTGAAATTTGCCATCGTGTGAAATTCTATGAACTATTTCCACATTAGTATAAAGTCAAATATTATATCAAATAAATTGAAAAGAACAGTCCACAAGTCAAAACATGTTTTATACTACTTCATAGATAGTGTGCAATCAAACCATGCAACTTGGAAAATAAAGCACCTACAGACCTCCTTAACATTATTATTCAATAACAACGATATTCTGACAAAAAAATAAAAGAAAAATATGAAAACAAGAAGCACTCTTCAGAATATGAAAATGAGCTTATGTCCCCACAACACAATAAGCGACGGATGATAAATAAAAGGCAACATGTTTAACTGGACCCATTGAACACAAGTTTTGTCCCAAGCTAAAATTGGAATAAGAAGGTTAGAAGAAGAGCAGAAGAAAATTGAAAGAAAAATTGGTTAACACACATGCATGACACAATGCTTTCACATTGATTAATCAAAAATTGTGTTTACAATAATTGAAACATACCAAGTTGAATACATGAACACCCGAGTTTTTTAGATTCCTTAATTAATATTTTTCCTCTGGACTTAAAAACACATGGTTTTCAAATAGCAAAAAGATACTACATAATACAAGAAAATTAGTGTTAAGTTGACTTTCCGCATAAAACAATGTAGGTAGTCAAGGAAAAAGTAATTTTAAAATAATAATATTATTATTTGTATGAAAATTTTTATTTACAAATATTTCTTAACCAATATTAATTTGAGCTGGGGGAACAGAAAAATAAAATAAATGAGTGACTAACAGCATTATATAAATCTTTTTGCAAAATATTCACAACATCTAATACTTTACATTCATTCAAACTAACTATTAATTTGACAACTTTTACCAAATGTTTTTACCATGTAAAACAGCATTTTATTTTCAAATTAAATCTAACCATTTGACTTATTTTTATTCAGGCTTCCAAAATTTTACTGAGTTACTTTCAGCTGTATTGTAAAAAGCTCCTGATATTTATAATAAGAAATATTGCAAACCAGCAAGTATTGAGTGAAAAATAGTATTAAGATGACTAATAATTTAGGGTGAATATTGTGAAATGCTACGCATATTTTTTCATATTTAATTTAGTTGAAACATAGAGTAGTAAAGTAATCAATTGGGATTGGATAGTTACCTTGATTTGCCAGTGCACACTCCATGGCTAAATCAAGACCTGACTTTTTGAAACCCACGACCACTACCTTTTTCCCTTTGAGAAGTTGAGTAGAAGCTTCCTGATCAAGTTTACAGTAATCAATCGTATGCAGCACCTTACCCTTGAATACCTCTGGCCCTCTCATCCGTTGAAACGTTGGAATTTTGGGTATGTCCCCATATTTTCCAATGCAAACAACAATAAACTCGAAGCCATACCACTGTATCGGATTGCAAAAATAATGATTAGTGCACCATTCATATTCTTTGGAACCCTTATTTTGATCTTTATTGATTATAATTATTTTACAATAAAAATTTCTGCTCTTCAAGTATAAATTTTTTCTGCAATAAATATTTTATTATTCATATTATTTATCATAATATAGGAAAATTTGTAATGAATAAGCATGATAACAAAATAATACTGACACAATTTAAAAAAAAATATAAATGAATAGGATTGCAATATTTTACATTATGTTGGTCAACTTATCATGAATCATCACGTCAGAGTTGAAAGGCATCCATGCCGCATCAACTCCGTACAATCAATCACTCGAATTTTCTTATTGTTAAAAAAATTAAAATGAAGAAACTTTAAACTTTTTTATAAAAAATAGTGCTTTTTTGTTTTTCTAAATATTTCAAATTAAAATATTGAAAATTTATAATAATTATGTAATTTTAAAAAAATTGAAAACAAATATTTTATTGTCTTTTTAGAAATTATACAAAAATAATAGTTAAAATTTATTTAAAAAAGATATATCATAAAACTACTTTTATAAAAAATACATAACTTCTCATTTTTAATTAACAAAATAAAATTATTTTTTATAGGAGAGGAAAAAGGGCCGGATTAGTTATTATGAGGAAATTTAGAACTATCAGGCAATTTGTAATTTAAAAATTTATATACTGATTTAATTTCTCAACCCCGGGTATATAGAATATATTTGAAAGGCTTTATTAACCGCTTATGAAAAATAGTTTATTACTTTTACAATTATTTAAAACTTATTCTAATAAGTTTTATTATTAAATTTATGGTATGATAAATTATTATTTTAAAAAATTATTAAGTATATACTTAAATAAGTAATTTTTCAAAGATAAAAAAAAATATTTTTTATTTTGGTCAAGAGATACAAAAGAGTTTGTAGGGAGTTGAGTTGATGAATTAACGAAGACCTGAAGTGTGTCTGACTGAGTAGCCTGCACAGCAACTTCCCACACAGGTTGACCAGGAAGTAAGCTTCCATAGTCATGATCAGGAGGCACTGCTCCAATGTCAGAGGCTTCCCGGTTGCCGGTAAACCTAATTTCCACCACCTTAGAGTTGAACTTAATGTTCTTGAGCACGTCAAAGTGTTGAGCATAGGAGTGCAAATAATTCAATATTTCCAAGTGGGTAGGAAAATCAGGGTTGTCTCTCTCAGGCCAAGGAAAATCAGTGAATTCATAGTCTCTGCGGTGAGATTGAAGCTTAGTGGAATTGTAGGAGCAATGCCTCCACACCCCACCAATGGAATCTGAGGCTTCAAAAACAATAGGCTTGTGATGGGATAGCTGTTTGGCGGCTGCTATGCCGCTTACTCCAGCTCCTATGATGCCAAATTTTGAAACCAACATGGCATGGTTTTCTCGGATAGCCATATTTTGGGATTGAAAAGGTTTAGGAAGTTAATAAGATGTTTATGTAACGTGTGTGTAATATGAGTGCGTGTTGTGTGTGTGCAGTGCAAATACGAGGATGTTAGATTGGTATATATAGATGACTCAAGCTGCATGTGTTCGTCATTATGACATCAAGCCGTAGACTTTTACAATAAATGAATAAGAAAAACAAAAGAAACCTTAAGATGTAAAGCTTGAGAAAGGGGGGGTAGGAAAAACATTGTAGAAATATATGTGTGTGTATACATAATAATAATAATAATAATTTTTACCACTAATTTTTAATGGAAAAAAGTGAATTTAATTTTTTTTTTCTTACCATGAAAAAAGTGTAAAGATACTACAGAAATTAAGACAGTGAAAGAACTTCATTTGAATCATATATACATATATTTGGTTGCTATTCACTATTTAATATGTATTTATGAAGGAAATTCAATGGACATGTTGGAGAACTTTCGTGCTATATACGGTCTCTTATTATGTCATGGCACTTGTTCAATTTAAATTTTTATACTTTGTCAATATTCATTTGTTTTTAAGGCCATATGTATATTCATTTTTCATGGTACCTTCTTTACTCTCTACCCGCTTCTTTACACACTCAAAAACGTTAGATAAAATTATTTTTGGTATACAAAGAAGGGTCCATTAGACATCAGCCTAAGACCTAATTTTTGGTATTCAACTTAATAACAGATATTTTTATACTAATATTTTTATATTCAATAATTGTATATAAAATATAATTTTTTTATTTAACAATTAAATTATAATTATATATTTTATAAATATGTATTATATTAATTTTAATGTATAGCAATATAATTTCATAAACATAATTTGTACGAATAACAATGTATTTGTGCATGATAGTGGCTAATATTGCTAGATGTTTATTCCATTAAAGTTTCTACGTGTGTAATTATATGTTTTGGACATGGTGATTGCAAACCAAAATATCTGTTGAACAAATAGTAACATGTGAGCAATATTGGATTGCTCCTCATCAACGCGCAACAGAAAATGCTGGGAAAATTTAAGAGTATTGCCTTCAATTTCGGGTAGGTTATTAATTTCAAAAGCTAAAACATTAATTATTTGAGGCACATAGATCATACAAAGATATCAAAAGCAGTCTGAACAATAAGACTATGACTCTCTTGCATTAATGACCAAATAAATTAAAAATAGTTTCTTCACGAATAATTTAATAACAGAGTTCAAACACGAATAAAGTTGGTAGAACCAACCAACGTGAACACAGAGAGAACACCTCGCGTTTTACATTTTGTACACTTCAAACTAATCAACTTCATTGTAAATTAATTTTTAAACTCTTTAGTAAGATAACATTGAATAATTTGAAATGGACGAAAAAACTGGTTGTTATGATCATTCAAAAGCAAATGTTCATACATATACATAAATAATTTAATTAAAACAATGGGTATGAAGGGAAGTGGTTTTCTTTTCTGTTGACCATGCAAAACTTTCAAGTTGAGTTCAAGTTTAGGATCTTCTAGCTACCAAACAGTTCAACTAACCGATGAAGTCAAACCAAAGTAGTGCTTCTTATTGCGTCGCGTGCGTATTAGCATTAAATAATCGTAATTTTTGGAGAAACTGTACATCTTTAGAGCAAGCCAGAGTTTTACATGAAATTAATTTCATAACTTCATGATAAACAGTGTACAATTAAAATCATAAGAAACAAAATTTTGATGATGATGGTTCGGGTCACATCGGGACTCCTGTTTCAACAGAGAGAAAGGCATACAGGGAGCCAGAAAAAATGCATGTATCTCTCACATTCATGGGTAGATCAGAGGTGGCTTGAATTTGGCATTATTTTTGGAAAACACGTAGAAGCTGGGAGGGAAACAACAAGGAACCTAAGAAGGAAATTCAGACGGAACCAGGCGCTTGGAAATTTAGTTATTTTTCACTTTTTGCATCATGCATGGAAAATTGAAAAGCGAAGAATATTACACGGATCTTGATATAATCCATTTTATTCTGATTTTTGCCTTCGACCAAATATTTCTGGCCCATTAACTGCATCTTTTACTACAATTTTAAGATTTTTCCATTCTGACTAGTAATGTCAAGGTTCAGAAATTTCGAAAATAAATCATATATGGACTACAAATTGACTAATTTATTCACAACTGGAACATATTAATTATTTTTGTTGACCATTTTTTTATTCAACGGTGGTGTGAAAGTTTAGTATCAGTTTCAAAACATCACATGACTCATAACCGTGGCAAACAAGGATAGAGGCAAACAAGAAACATGATACAATTAAATCGCATATTTTTATTCATTTCTGATAAGAAATGAACAATTTGCGAGTAAGTATGCATGCACCGCGTAAGTGGTAGCCTGTATTAGCAGTTTATATTATTATAATAGGCTGACATTGTAATTTCTACGAAATAGAATATTGCTCGGTCTTGGATGATTCTTTCTGTGCTTTTATACTTGTTTTTCTATACCAATCCCAAATCCATTTCAATGAGATTATTTATATAGGATTTATTTCTGTGCTTTTTTTCTCTTCCAAGAAAGAAAGTATAGTATAATGCTGTATGTTTTATTTTAAAAAATGCATAAATTATGTGTAAATGTTGTTATTGTTATTATTATATCACATCAAAAGCTAAAAATGTAATTAAAAAATGGGGCAGCACACAATATATTTCTTATGATAGTTATCCAAAAAACGTTCAAATTAAAAATATTTTCTTCATTTGAACGTTATGAGCTGTCGTTGTAAAAGTTACAAATTGAACTTGTAATTAGATTTTTAGTGTAACTTTTCCATATATTTATGTAAATTTTAAATGTAATATATCGTATTTCCTTTTATATTTAGATTACTATAGAAAACCTTATTATCTTCTTGTGATTTTTTGTAACTTGCCTTTCCGGCTTTCTCGTTCTAGCTAGTAGAGTGAGATAACTAAGCAGTAACAGCTAGAGAAATGGGTTTTATTTAATCTACTAAAGCGTATCTGAATTATGAACAGAGAAAATATAAAATTTGGTAAAATTAGTGCTTTATGTTTAATTTATTAACTATATCTATGATAAATTTAAAAACTCTTTCATTTAATCTGAATTTTTATTTAACTTATATTTAATGATTTATAATTTATTAACTGTTAAATATAAATTAAATTAAAGCTCAAGTTAAGTATAAAATTTTTTAAATTTACACTAATGTGAGAAAATTTTTAACCATATAATAATGAATGGAAATATTTTGTTCATACTCCAATTTTCACAGCGGTGTGTGGTTAGTTACCAAAGACTTTGAATCCCGTTTTCAAACATTACGCTTTTACTTTTCCATTATTGACTTATATATCTTATCGATAAGTTCCTTCGCTGTATGTTTGGTTTAAGTTTTAAAAACTTCTAAATAGTAACTTTGAAAACTAATATTAATGAGACAATTTTTTACTCAAATAATAATTTATATTAAAATGTATGCAGTTAGTTGCTTACATTGTTTTCCTTAACACAATAATATATTAGAAAGTTGTTTTATTTTATTTTTATGATTGATTAAAAATTTCTAAAAATAGAAAGTTGAACTATTCTATTGTCACACGCAATATAATTAACAAATTAACCATAACTTACATTAATGCTTATTTAGAAACAATAAATTATCAATAATCAAATATAAATAAATTACCGCAAGCAAAAAAAAAAGTACCAACAATAATCAAATTTAAGAATTTGATTCGTGATTCGATCTAATTAATTGAACCAAGAAGGGTGTTAAGAATATAATTTTACTATATATTTTAAACACACATTTAATTATTTGTTAAATTTTTAAAATATATATAGAAAAGAAAAAATTAATTAAATAAAAAATAAAAAAAAATTATAATCTGGATAATTTTTAAATTCATTTTTATCAATTAAGTAAAATACATTAAAAACAGAATTAGAGAGTGTTGCTATGTTTTTTATTAAACTAATTTTAGTTGACTGGGTATGTTTAAAAAACAATCAAAACACGTTTTAACATGCAAGTTAATGTTTATAGCGTTTAAAATATATTCATATATAAATGAATTCGATGTAAATTTAAAACATGAGCAAATTTTTGTTTTTAAGAAACTATTATGCAAATTAAAAGTTATTCATGATATAACAACAAACAATTGAAATAATGACATAAAAATTATGTATTCATATATATTCTGATTAATCCTATACAAGAGCGTAGTCATACATATAAATACAAAATTATGGAAAACAAATTAATTGAAGTGAGATGAAACGTTACAATCACTTATTGGATGAAGGACAAAACAAGAACGGTCACTTAAAACCCTAAACTATTACTCGTCCACTTATTCCAACTTTCCAATTAAGTGCCATCAATATCCACCATAACACACTGGAATACGTTTGATTCCACACACATCACATACAGACAAATTGGACTCCATAATATATACTGACACCTAACTGTTACCCACCATTTGTATAGACTATTTACCACAATTAATCACAACTTTTTTTCTTACAATATTAAAAACAGTATATATTACATTAAATATTTTAAATTATCATAATATATATACCACTTTTTATAATTTTAAAATAATAACATTTTTATTTTTTATTTATTAATGCATTTTTAAACATACACATTAAAAAATTATTTGTAATTATACCATCATTTGCAATATTCAATATCCATAATCAGGGAACCAGGGCTACAGGCATTTGCAGTTCATACCTTTTCTTTGTTAAAAGCATAAACTATATTTGCTTTTTGTTTAATAAAATACAAGAGTTTACAGAAATGTATTGTTAGAAAATTTAATATTATTTCATATAAAAATACAAGTGTATATTACTACTAACATTGCTTTCATTCTCTTTAGTATGACTTATATGCTAATTTATTTGTCATTTAATCTTCCTCGAAGCTAAGTCGAACAATTACTAAGTCAATACTAGAAAGGAGGCCACAGACTTACACGAGTCAATTAGAGAGTAATGTTTATTTGATATTATTTATGTCTTATTCATCTATATCATATTAAAAGTGGCAAATTACTTGACAAGAAATAAAGTGAGTGGAGATATTATTAAACTTTCTTATGATAATAATATTTTTAATATAAACGTTAAATAATAACTAAATCTATCTTATAATTTTTCTCAATCTTTTCCTTTTTGAAAGGTTGTATGCTCAGAAAAGTGGTTTAGTTCAGCATAAAATGTTGAATCCCCATTGCCAAACACGATGTATTCAAGCTCCTGTAATGGGCCACGACAAACCAAACCGTGAATTGAGAATCTGAGGCCCAAACTATTCAAAAAATGTTGAGATAACATAAAAAGGTGGGGTTTTTTTTTTTCCCCTCTTAATTTGCACCTTTTTTTTAACGCACAACTCGTTTAAAAAAAATTTAAACCATAAAAATATTTTTAAAATTTAATTTTCAATAGCGTGATACCAAAAGAAAAAAGAACACCAAAGAGCCTAGGATTTTCGTAACAGCGTCATGAGAGTCTTAATTAATTCCACATTAATCTCGTCATCCTTTTGGAAAGAATGTTGGATTGCAAAGTTAAAAGAATAAAATACAGAATTTATGAAAGAATAGTTATAATTTTATTTCGTTTAATTTATATTATGCATGATTTTAGTTCTAAGTTTTTTCGAAGTGGATTAAACTTCTATTTTTAAATTGATCAAATTTTGTATCCCACCAGTTTTTTCTCTAGTTCTCTAAATTGAGAGAATGAATTAATAAAAATATTAAATAATTTTGTTGTTTTCGATGATAAAATAAAAAATAATAATAAATACTCGCTTATTAGATAAAGCAACTGTAAACACGCCCATATACATATAATGCGTAAATCAAGTGTCACAAGCGTTGATCTACACAATGTGAAACCAAGACACCGTAACGCTAAAACATTTATTACATTGTTATAAATGACATTTGATTTTCCTAAAAAAAGAAACAGATAACATGTGTTAAATATGCAAAGTTTACCAATACAGGTATTATCTGTGCACAAATTAATGTGATTATACGACCTGAAAGTGTGAATGTTCAAACCGTGTTTTTAATATTATTATTTAATTAATAATTGTGAAAGTCATGATCATATTAACCATGTTTCTTTACATGTTTTCCTTACTCCTAGTACTTGTATGGGGGAGCACCTAAATCACGCAATTTGCCAATTATATGTCATGAAAAAAGCAATAAATGTTAATAGTATCAATATTTAATTTTTTCTATTCTTGTCACATTTTTTTTATTTCCCTCCGAGTACATACTTATGAGTACATATGTGAAACATTTTATATTTTAATGTAAAAATTAACATGGCCATTGCTATGAGAAGAGAATTTACGATCGATTATTAAACCGGGTCAAGCCAACCAACCATGCCTCTACCTAACCCTCGACCCACTGAATTAATTGATATCCTTATTGCATAAAATAAGGAGTAGGAATAAATGAGCACGTAACGGACGCTGAATTATTCGCATTAAAGAAAAACATTAAAAAATCAAAACTAAATAAATGACAAAAATTATGTGAAGACAAATTTTATGACATCAACATTAACCGTAACAGAGATTTAAAAAATAAATAATGATAATAACTTTTTTCTAAGGTTTCTAATTTAAAAAATACTTTTTTACAGAGATTAGCAAGAAACAAATTTTTGCTTAAAGTAACATTTCCATGCTCAAGAAAGAGTGCCGAGTTTAATACAAATTATAAATAAAATTAATTTAAAAATAAATTTTATTGATGTAAATATACAGTTAATAATAATAAAATTTTATTAAAAAGAGAAATATTTATTGTATTTTTATAATTTTAATATAATAACTGTGTACTTTTTTTATAATTTTTTTTGTGAATTTTTATCTTTAACTCTAAGAGCTGAGTTTAATTTTTAAAATATCTACAAATTTTAAAACTGCAATATTAATTTTTCACGTATACATATAATTATATATTTATTAAAATCTAAGGCTTAATTATTCCTGAAATTTTACCCTGGTTTTTTTTAGGACACGTGTTATTCTTTTAACATATATTTATACTTTATTTTTCTATGGTAAAAATTTTACTGTTGTATAAAAAAATTAATTATAAAGAGATATATATATATATATATACGTATATTTCTCATTTTTTATACTAGGCTATTTGAAACTCCGAAATAAAGTATGAAAGAAATATTTCTACTTTTTGTTATACAGTAATCATTCTCACTTTTAAACTAGTGAGCATTCATTTATCACGGAAAGAAACTTCGGTTTGAACTTTTTGAATTGGTTGATATTTTCGCACCCATTTGGTGTGAAATCATGAAATGGATAAAAAGGGAAGATAAAATGAGAAAAAGAAAAAAAAAACTGCAATAAAAAAAAATATATAAAAATATAATTATTGTTTAAAATTTAAAGGTCGAGTTTTTCTTATGCTCATACTACTCTTATAGGCTAGTGGTCTTAGGCCCATATAAATTTACCATCTTGTTTCTCCCCCGAAATTTATTTCTTTACTTTCACAAATATTAATTATCATTTTTTTTTGGTCGGTCCAGATAATTATCAAATTTCCCTCCCCACTCATACATCTCCTTTTGTTAATACCAATCATAACGACTGACCAGGTTGAATGAGGTGTCAAATTTCAACAGTAAAGGACAAAATCTCTTGAAACAAAGAAAAAAATAATAAATTTAATATATAATACGCTAAAAATTCATTAATTGTAAAACAGTGGAAAGGGTGAAGCGAAATAATAATTATTTATCAATAATTATATTTTATTTTTCTTTAGAAAAGTAATGGATATGGATATATAATTTTCTTTCATAAGAAATATATTACTTTCTTTATTTTATTATTATTTTGGTGTAACAGGATGCAGCATAATGATGAGGCATCTTAGGTGTGGATTCTAAGCATCTTACGAGAGATCCCATCCTCCACTTGCTTCATGGCTGCCCCATATAAGCTGTAAACAATGATAAACTCCACCAACAACAATCAATAATCATCACCATGAACGTTTCTCCTCTTGAGGCTCAAGCTTTCAACTACTTGAGCTTCGGTTTCTTCACCTTCCTCAACAATATATGGACACGCCTCGCCCTCAGCTTCTGGAGGATCCCAACTCCAAACTCTCAATTGCCTCCTCCTTCCGCTCAACCCGAACCTGACCCGAACCCGGATACATCGGAGCCCGATGCCGTTAGTGTGTCTGGTAACGTCGACGTTGACGGAGTGACGAAGTCGAAGGGGAAGTTTACCTTGTATTACGAGGATGACGGGGAATGCTCGAAGGACGAGATGGTAACGGTAACGGAGGAGGACTGGGAGGATAGAGAAGGAGAAAGGGAGTGGTGGGAGAGTTGGGAAAGGGTGTTGAGGATGAGAGCTGGGGAGAACGAGAAGGGATGGTACACGTGTCAGGATTTAACGGTGCTTAACGGTAGCGTTGTGAAGTTATGGGAATGGAGGGATAGCTCAAACTCTGTTATTTTGTGGTATTAGGATAGCATAGTTTGTAAAATATATTTATAGGGTCATTTCCTCATAGTCTATGCATTTCAAACGCAACTGATCCAAACAAGCTCTGTGTTTTTTCTTTTTATCAAATAGTAATGCGGATTCATCAACATTGACATTTTATATTTTTTAAATCATATATTATATTTATCATTTTTTTTTATCTTTTATATATAAACTTAAAGGATATTTGTAAACAACTTTCTTTTACAAAACATAAATAACAAATGAACATAGCACCAACCAGAATCAACACCAAACAACAAGAGATTTTTTCTATAAATTTTGTAAGTTAATAACGCCTATGTAGACATGTCGATCATAGGACGTTCTTTGGATTTGGTGCCTAACTTTATCTTGTTGGAGTACACATTTTTAACCAACACTGCTGTTTTTTTTTTTTATGAATGAATATAAATCTACTTTGTTTTTTTATATATGAAATTTAAAAATTATATATACATATATACTATTATTTAAAAAATACGGAAATATGATATTTAAATTTTTTCAATAATAAAAATTTATTTTTTAAAAGAATACTAAAAATTAAAACTAATCAATAACAATTTTTTTAAAAACAATAAGAAAATTCAAATATAAATGATTATTTTTTAAAAATTATCATATTGTAGTAATTTTTTCATTTTTTATGTAAAAATAAATATCCTATAAATATTTTATTTTTAAATATCTGTAAAGAAATTATCTCGTTTTTATAAATTGTTTTTAAAACGAGTAGTAATTTTAGTTTGTTCAATTTGATTCCATTCTATTTCAGTTATTATATTTCATTCTGTTTTATTTATATCTAAACGAAGCTGCGGGCAAATACATAATAAATTAGATATAAAATGTTATTAGAATCTTTACTACAATCTTTATAACTTATATTTTTTAATATTAGTTTTTAATTTATACAACATTACACACAATAAAAAGTTATGTAAAATAAAATCTTATTAAAAACTATAAAATTTAATATACTGATATTATTTAATATTTTTTAATATAAAATTCACCCTACTTAATTTATATCACGTATAATTTACACGTGTTAATTTTTTTAATATTTTAATTTAATCAACAATTAACAATGAACCGATATTTCAATTCTAATATTAAAAAATAAAGATTAAAAGTGTTAGAAAGTGATAAAAAAAAAGGGATTTAAATCTTCTCTATGGCAGAAATTAATACGTAAAATCAATATTTATTTAAGCGAAATCTAAAAAACAAAAAACTTATAATTTTTTAATTGAATTAAATTTATTTAAGCAGTGGTAAAGGAAAAAGGGACAGTAACGAAAAAAAAATTATTGATTAGTTGAAGTAACTCAAGAAAAACAGCAACAACAATTGAAAAATTATAAAAATAAAATAAAGCTCCACATGGTGCATGTGCATATAAATGAAGAACAATTCAGGCAGAGCAGTCATGAATCTCTATTATAGTTTTGTATATTAATAAAATTGCTTAAATAAATTTTGGATTTTTTAATTTTATAAAATTCCCTTAAATAAGAATTTCGAGTAGACAATCAAATTCTTGCCCAATTAAAGAGGACCTGGATTTAGTAAGAAAGTAATATGGTAACATTGTGTAAGCAAATAGTGGATATATTTTTTATTTTTATAACATTATTATTGTTATTTTAATATTATATATATGTATAATTTAAAAACACTTTCAATGTAAATATTTGTATATTAATTTTCTATTAAAATCAAACTCAAATAATAATAAATATAACATTTTTTAATTTTTATTTAAATAATTCTTTGTCATTTTATATAATATTATTATATTTTTATTATTGAACAGAATTTGAAATAAGTTATAATTTTATTTTAACAGTTAAAAAATTATATGTCAATAATTAAAATAAAAAATAGCTAAGATCATTCGTTTAAGCAACTAGCTAAATAAAAAAATATTTATTTAAATTCACTTAAATAATTTTTATAAATTTTTTAAATACATTTTAATTCACTTAAATTATAATAAAATTCCACGATTCAATTTTTGCTGTAACAAAAAAATTTATTTGGATGCTACTTTTGCCCACGTAATTCGTGTAAAAAAAGTGCAAATTTTTACATTTAAAAGGTATTTAAATTAATTGTATTGTTTTTAATAATAATTAAAAATGAAAATATTTTAAAAAGGTCAAAAGTAAAATAAAATATTATAGATTAAAAAATTAATATATTTTATTTAGTTTAATCGCGTTATGGTTATTAAAATCGACAAGAGGTAATAAAATAGAATAAAACAATGCAAATCCCTGCTCACCTGCAACCACTTGGTCACTGTTCTGGCTTGTAGCTGGAAGTGCATTTATTTCCGTGAAACTCAAAAATCGATGAACCTTTTTTTGTTACGCAAGAAGCTCCGTGGCAACAGCAAGTGGTATAAATACTTTTTAAATTAAAAAATAAATAATGTTATGTTTTAAGTTTTTCGTTAACTTTATTGATTTTGTTTGAAAATTAAATAGATTTAAAATATAGGATATTTAGTTTTTTATTGATTCGATAACTAAAAGGACTGATAAGAACTCCATTGTAAGAAAAGTTAAAATTTTTATGGATAAAAAATACACATTAAACTTAATATTTAGGATTGATTTTAAATAATTAAAATAAATTATTTTTAAATACTTAAAACAAACTTTAAAATTTAAATTTAACAAAATCAATTTATATATATAATTTGAGTAAAAGTATTTTAAATATTTTCCTTAAATAAAAATTCCTTTAAAATTTGATTTTCTTTCTGATCGTGCTAATAGTTTTTAATTAAATATTAGTTTTCATAATATTTAAAATATATTTTTCATCTTAACTGTATATTTTATTTATTATTATCAATAACTACACAAGTTACTATTTTTAAATTTTAAAATAATCATTACATATATAAAAGCAGGAAAACGATACTTTTATTTCAAAAGTTGAATCAAGTTGCACGTGTGCCACTTTTTAAAAAGCCATACAAGTCGAAGGGTGTCTCTGAACATTTTATTTTTGGTAAGTAGCAACTTGGTCCTTATCATAAACTACGTATTGTTTTAATAACGTTTGTGACTTAGACCACGCATAAAATATATACCCAGCAAAAGAATTTTAAAAGTCTTTATATTATATATTTTAGGCATCAATTGTTTAAACACTGTTTTATTATCCGAATTACACAGTATTTTTATATGATAAATAATAAAATATACATGCATCTTAATATACTATTTTTATCTTATCAATTAAACAAAATGTATAGAGGAAAAAAATTGTGAGCAAAAAACATAATTCTTTTCCATGGTTTTCAAGTTCACGATAGACCAGCACCGGACCTGTCAACTACGTAGGTTAACAACTTGACGGCAAATGTCTTAATTGAATATTAAGAAATAAACGAAGACATGTTACTTTTTGGTTAAGAAAATGTTTCATGTACAAAGATATAGGTAAAAAAGAAAGAGAAACAAAGATAACTAATTATTGTATCACATATCATATTATTAACCCACAAATAAATAATTTTTTTTTATCGTCTTGTTATTTGTATGGAGAAAATAATTATTGAAAATGATTTACATGCATATTAATTAGTTAACAACTTAACATCAATACAACATAATTAGTATATTTTGTTATTTCATAATTTAGTTATATTATTTTATTTACCATGTTTAAAATATGATATATAACTATTTATAAATTTGCTTTAGAGATAATCATCATAATACACAACGTTTTGAGGAAGCATCCTAACTGTAAACACATTTATGTTGACTTACAGACTCCAAATTGCCCTATAAAACCAGCTTGCCTCACCCCACACTAAACCGCTCCTCATCTAACAAAGCACAAAGAAAAACTCTTCAATCTTCACGTCTTGCTTCCCTTTGTTTTCTTTAGCATGCATAAACGAAAAATGCAAACACTTGCACTTAACACTCTCTCCCTCACACTCTTTGTTTTGTTCCTCTTGTTCTCGTCTCCACCAAGCGCCGCCGCCGCCGCCGGTCCAGCGCGCGATCTGCTCCATTCATCGTGCGCCCAGGCCAGGTACCCCACGCTCTGCGTCCAAACCCTCACCAACTACGCAAACCCCGCCGCGAAGCCGGTGGACCTGGCTCAAGCCGCCGTCAAGGTTAGCTTGGCTCGCTCTCGCACCCTCTCCGTTTACCTGAACACGCTGAATTCACAGACGACATCGTCGGGTTTAAGCAAGAGGCAGCGAGTTGCGGTGAGTGACTGCGTGGCTCAGATTGCGGACTCTGTGGCTGAGTTAAGCAAGACCTTGAACGAGTTACAGCACCTGCACGTGGCCACGTTCCAGTGGCAGATGAGCAACGCCCAGACATGGGCCAGCGCAGCCTTGACCGACGGCGAGACCTGCGTCGACGGCTTCGACGACGGGAAGCTCAAGTTGGAAGTGAAACGTAGGGTCACTGACGTAGGCATGGTCACAAGTAACGCTCTGTACCTTATCAATCGCCTCGGTGATAGCAAGAGTTGGAAGCTCCGCACCAATTTCAATAACTGATGGGTTCATCAAGCTAGCTTTTGTTAATTAGTGCATGCATGATAGATAATCTTTTATTAATTTGATGACTACGTGTTTGCAGTGTGAGCTTTTGGTATTGGTTTTTGCTATAGCGACGAGATGTATGTAAATCAATGTATGCTATTTCTAGTATCAAGGCTTAGCTCTGTTATTGCTCAATGAAATTAAAATGTGTGATGATTTTCTGTGCACTCTTTATTGAATTGTCAGATTCATCAACCAGATCCAAGTTTAGATGGTATTTACAATATATAACTTCCCTTCTCGTAACATTCAAAAAAGTTGACCATGTTGAAGAAAAAACTTTTTCTTTACTCACGATTTGCTGAACGCTCATGAGTAAGACATCAGCACGTGCATATACGTTTTCTTGGTTTTTTTTTTTCTCTCTTGGCAAATCTACGAAAGTTCAGTCACGTGACATGTGGGACCGAGATCTGTACCTCTTAATTGTGGCACATGACTGTTGAATACTCGTAAGTTTGACTAATAAGTCGTGAGAGAATCTTTAAAATTATTTATCAAATAGCGGTTGGTTGGAAACCATTTGCCAACTGATCTTTGTAATTACGAGACGTAAGATGATATCATGAGATTCTTACATGGACTAGCTACCATCTCCTTTAAAATTGCAGCATTTTCAACCGAGACAACAAATTGGAACATTATTTTTTTATTAACTAAAATTGATGAAAATTTTATGAGTTTCACTTTAAAATTAAAAAATTGCGCTCTTACATTTTGTATCACTCCTTTTTAAATTTACACTCTGATTATATTCTTTGCAATTTTTTTTCAAAAGTACCCTAATATGCATATTTAAATTTATGCACATCACTATTTGAGAACACTTTAAAAAAAATAAATTTATGAAAGTATATTTCGGATACTAATCTTCAAAAGGTATATCTTTTACAAAAAAAAACTCTTCAGAAATTTAATTTCAGGAGCTCTTATAGACACACCTTCAGAATCAAATTTTTGAAATAATTATAATTCCTAAAATTCAAAATCTTCTGAAATAAAGAACGAAAATGGTTTAAGGATATTTTGAATTTTTTAAAAATAAGAATAATGTATTTGAAAAGGGGGGGGGGGGTGACGAAAGTTTCAACCTCTTTTTTGTTTTTTTGTCAAAGAGTTTGGGCCTCTAAATAACTTTCTGTACTAAATAATAAGTGCGAATTTGATACAATATTGTTTGGTCTGGGCCGCAGGGCCCAATATTTCCCGCGTAGTTAGAAAAGAGATAACAATAAGTCGGTTGTTCTTAATTCCAGCGTGTGCATAAACCTTTGCTGACTTGTGACTTGTGAGCTAGCAAGCTAGGGTTTTGCCGCATTATTGTGCTGCACTGTGATCAAACTCCGTTCATTATCGGCCATGGAAGGCATCGAATGGGAGGAACCCGCATTCACCACAGACGAAGCGAACGATGATTTATGCAATTGGGTCCTCTCTCGCTTCGCCAACTCCACCAACGAAAACCACCAGCACCTATGCGCCGTCATCGGCGCTATGTCACAGGAGCTCAAAGACCACAACCTACCTTCCTCTCCGGTCGCCTACTTAGGCGCTGCATGCTCTTCCCTGGACCGCATCGCATCCGAACCCAACCCTCCCAACCACATCATCGACGCGCTTCTCACCATCTTCTCTCTCGTCATCACCAGAGTACCCGTCGCTGTGTTGAAGAAGCAGAGAGAATTCTTGTCAGAACTTGTAATTAAAGTTTTCCGTTCTCCATCCGTGTCGGAGAGTGCAGTTATTTCCGCATTGAAGTGTCTCTCGCATTTGTTGATCAACCGAGAAAGTGTTGACTGGTCTGACGTGTCTCCTTTGTTCACTGTCTTGTTAGGGTTCCTTGCTGATTCACGGCCTAAGGTACTTACTTACATGTGAATAATTAGCTTGAATTTTCTGTGTTTTTCGGTTCAATTTATCTTTTTGAATTTTGAGTGTGATTGAGTCAATGGCTACGCGAGTGATAGAAAGCCAGTGGAAGTTGGAGATTTATTTGGTACAGGAGGCCGTGCTATAGGATGTTATTGAGAGTGATGCCTCCATTTTTGTAGGACTGTTTTAATTAAATGAAACTTTAATAGGAATTGTGCATTGCCTTTGTTTTGGCTCCGCCTAGTGTAAAATCTTCCATCATGGTTGTCATAATTTTTTTTGTCACTATTTTTGGGTCGTCACTCTTGATATTCTGAATTAGTGTCTAAGACAGGTGGTAATAGTATGGACTAGTTTTGCTGTTTTAATTTCTTGAAATGGTGTAAATGTAATGATTATTAATGTTTTAAAATTCTATGTTGATGTAACGCGGGGGCTGAGGGTGAAAAAAGTTCATTTACTTGTAGGAAGGTTACTTCAGGACCTCTGATTGGTTCTGGTTCCTGACGAAGGAAGCAAAATGTTTGCTATACTGTGGTACATACTTGAATGTTGTATGCTAATCATATCTTTCAACAGGTCAGAAGGCAATCCCATTTATGTCTTCGTGATGTCCTGTTGAACATTCAAAATACTTCTCTACTGGCATCTGCAAGTGAAGGAGTCACAAACTTACTTGAAAGATTTCTTCTGCTTGCTGGTGGAGCAAATGCAAATGCTGGTGAAGGAACTAAGGGAGCCCAGCAGGTTCTGTATATTCTTGATGCCTTGAAAGAATGTCTTCCTTTTTTGTCACTGAAATATAAGACCAGTGTTCTTAAGTACTTCAAAACTCTCTTGGATCTGCGTCAACCCCTAGTCACAAGGCGTATAACAGATGGTTTGAATTTTCTCTGTGTTTATCCAACATCAGAAGTTTCCCCTGAAGCACTACTTGAGTTGTTAATCTCGTTGGCTCTTTCTATCTCATCAAATGAGATGTCTGGAGATGCAATGACATTTACTGCCCGATTACTTGATGCTGGAATGAATAAAATTTATTCTGTTAACCGACAAATATGTGTTATTAAGCTTCCTGTTGTTTTTAATGCCCTCAAAGGTAAGATGCTATGAATTCTGTTGTGTTTTTGTGTATTGTTACCTGTTTTCAAATGGCAATTATGGAAGTGATGTACTTCTAACTATGCAGATATTTTGGCATCTGAACATGAAGAGGCTATACACGCATCAACTGATGCACTCAAGAGCATGATAAATTCTTGTATTGATGAAAATTTGATTAAACAAGGAGTGGATCAGATTGGTTTGAGTGAAAACAGAGAATCAAGGAAGTCAGCGCCAACCATTATTGAAAAAATTTGTGCAACTATTGAGAGCTTACTTGATTATCATTATACTGCTGTCGGGGACAGAGTATTTCAAGTTATTTCATCTATGTTTGATAAATTAGGTGCGTGTTTGGATGAGATTATTTGGGATGGTAAAAGGTTTTTTTTTAAGGGGAAAAGATTTTGTTTTTTCCTCCTCAAATCTTGTGTTTGGTAAAATAATCGAAGTGATGAAAAGTAGTTTTTTAATGGGAATTTTTCTTTTGTCATAAGCAAAATTTTGGAACTTATGATTAAAACCTATTAGATAATTTTCTTGCTAACCTTTTGTTTTCCCATTTTTATGTGTTTGGGTAATCAACTTAACGAAGCATTTATTGAATAAGCTTTTATCACACAATGGCATATAACATAAATTTGATCATGACAGTAAGTTGATAACATGGCATATAACATATCCTTTTTGTATAATTCAACTTTAAAATAAGTGATTTTTTAGACCATTTAAACAAAATAGATTATTTAGAATAACCTCTTATCATATCTAAACATAATACTTATTGCTCTAATTAATTGTAACTATAATCAATTATGGAAAATAATCTTTTTCTCACAACTAATCCTAACACACACTAGGTATTTTGATTGTTTAACTATACAAAATGTGGATCAGGTCGTGTTCTACTTTCTTTCATTGGCTTATTAATTTTTCTGGTTGGTCATTGAAGAGTTAAGAAGTATTATTTCTTATAGTTTGATTAAGTTATCTAAAACTTGGTGCAGTCCCATTTCATGGTTTCTTCATCAGCTTCTGACTTGTGGTCTCTTTGTAATCTTTTTCTTCAAATAATAGCTTGGTATCTTGTTACTAATATTTGATATTATGCAATTATCATTTCAGGAAATTATTCTCCATATTTTATGAGTGGAATACTCAAAAACTTGGAAGATGTGCAGAAGCTTCCTGATGAAGGTTTTCCATTTAGGAAACAGGTCTAGTTATCTTTTCTTCGACAATTGCGTTTATTTTTCTTAGCTATGTTAATGTGAAGCTGAAGATCTTATACTGTGAGCTTGGATATTTTCTATTTTCGTAGCCAGTACTGTATGCCCAATTTTGAATACTGTCCCATTTTAGCTGACCTATAAAACGTTGTTTGTCTTTTTAATTCTATTATGATCTGGGGGATTCAAAAGAAAACTGGTAGTTTTTAGCAATCCTGTTGTTCTAAGTGACATATCTGGGTTTATTCTGTGTAATATGTATTAATAGGGCCATTTAATGCTGTTAATGAATGATGCCTGTATGATTAGCCAATTACAAAATATAGCTGGTCAAAGCTGCCCTATTGAATTCTGTTGATTTTTATGTTTAATAAGTGTTGCACAATGAGTTTATTACTTTTTCTTGGTTAATTTCTTAGTTAGTAGCTCATCAATAAGTTGGTTGTTATTCGATTATCTGGGAACCTGTATGGTCTTATAATTTATGTGCTACAAATTATTAATGTGTTTAGTATTCTACAACGTGCAGCTGCATGAGTGCTTCGGATCAGCTCTTGTTGCAATGGGACCTGAAACTTTGTTGTCTCTTATACCGCTGAATTTGGAAGCTGAGGATTTAGCTGATGCAAATATTTGGCTTTTTCCAATTCTCAAACATTATATTGTTGGTGCACCTTTAAACTATTTTACAGAAGTGATTTTGGGTATGATTAAGTGTGTAAGGGAGAAGGCTCAAAAGGTATAATATATATTATTATTAGGTGCAATATTATCCTTGTACACAGTGTGAATTTCTTTGTACATTTTGCAGCTTGAGAAGCAAGGTCTGATGGTGTCATCAAGAAATGCAGATGCACTTGTATACTCTTTGTGGTCTTTGCTACCTTCATTTTGCAACTACCCTTCAGACACTGCTAAAAGTTTCATGGATCTGGAGAAACATTTACGTAGTAAGCTGAAAGAAGAACCTGATATTCGTGGAATAATATGTACTAGTTTGCAGCTTCTGATTCATCAAAACAAAAATATTGATTCAAATGACAAGAGTTATATTGGGCAAAATCTGGCCAAAGAACAAGTTTTGGCACATTATTCACAGCAGGTTGCACTTGACAACTTATATGTGCTGAAGTCATCTGCAAAGAAGTGGTTAAAAGACCTGTCAGAAGTATTCCTGCAAACTATGAAAGATGATGGTGGTTGTCTGCAGGTACTAAAACTAAAAATATTGGGAATAGTTGCTTCAATGTACTGTAGTTGAGCCGAATGTATGTCTGACACAATATTTTGTGTTCCTGCATGTTGTTATTCTCTAATTTTTCTCTTGGTTTCTGTTGCCTAGATATGTGATATTCATCATTTTATCATCCAGAGCACGTTTCAGCTTTCACTGTAATTCCATATTTGATACAGCTTTTTATGCTCACCAGATTTTCTTATTATGTGTAAATTGGTTGTGACAATGGCCTATGCTGATCACTATATTGGAGCAGTATAGATTTTGGGTAGATATGCAGGTCATTATCAAAGAAATGATTCTCATCAGCATTTTTTTTTATATCATTTTCTGAGCTCACTTCATATGAGTAGGCATTAAGTTTTAGTCATGGTTGATGTAAATAGATGTGGACACATGTTCTCCTTTCTTTTGAATAATATTCCTTAATTAGAAAATTAAAGTGTGATCATGAGGCCTTGAAGAGGTTATTGATCTGTATCAATAGTAGCTCTATATGCGTTCTTTCAAGTTTCTGGTCATCAATTGTGAATGTAATAAGGAGATAGAGCAATTCTTGCATGAGCACAGTGCTATAGGTACAGTCAATCAAAAGCTCAAGTTATTTAATCTTATCTTGAGTTTTTGATTGATATTTTTTATAGGCACTGTGCTTACACAAGAATTGCTTTAATTGTGATTTTGGAAATGTTTATGTGTGGCAGCTTTTTTCATGCCTTAGATTTTTATTTTTTAAATTGAAAGATAACTATTCGAAAATCTATACTTGTTTTTGGAAGTTCTGGGAATGATTAATATTTCATGGTTTAATGCACCCTTTTCAGGAACAGTGTAAGTGCTCTACATTTTCTTTGTCTTCATTACATGCGAGCTGAGAATTGAATTGTCCTTTCTTTGTTATATTTAATTTGTAAATGAAGGGTTTACGGACTTACAGTGATGATTTTGCTTCATTTACAGTGCACATTTGGTGATGTTGCTTCTATAGCAGATAAAGCAGATGTACGCAATTTATTCAAGGAGTTAATGGTGAAGCTTTATAAATGCACTCTAAAGGCGAGCAAAGTAGGCAATACCAAAAATTCTCATTCTATGCAGATTGATGATAACGTGTCTCCATCAGTTTTAAGGTGTTGATATCATCTATCTATCTCCAGTGTGTCTAAATGATTTTTCATGAAGTTATAACTCTTTTTAGTCAGTCACATTTTCATTTTACATAAATTATCATATGTTTTTGTTTTGCATTTACTTAACAGAATTTCTTTTTATCCCAGGGCACGATTTCTTGATCTTGTGGTTTCACTGTTGCCTGGTTTAGATGATGAAGATATTGCCCTATTATTTCAAGCAATAGTGCCAGCATTGCAGGTTTGACTGTGATATACAGTGCTTAGTGTTTTTGCAAGGAGTTTCTCAAACCCCTTTTCAGCACATGAAAGATAGGATGGTTACAGTTATTATTGTTTGCAGGATGTTGAAGGTGTCATGCAGAAGAAGGCATACAAAGTACTTTCAATCATTCTTAGGGTATTTCTCTACTTCATTTTATTTGATTTTCGGCTTAACATGAATGTTTCCAAATAAGTTCATATTTAAAGTGTGTCATTTAAAATTTATGTTATGACTTCCTAGCTAAAATGCTTCCATCACTGTTGCTGTCATGGATATGCATAGTGTCAGGAAATAAATTGATTGGGTATTTGGGTTTTATTAATTATCTAGGTATAATTACACTTTGTGTGATGGTTAAGTTGTTGAAATGAACATCAAGGGTTATTGATGTAGATTATTTTGGAGCTCTGCAAATTTATTAAATTAGAAGATTGGTGGTTTCACTGCCGAGCTAGTTTCATGCTTACAAATTTCTCTTTGGATTATTCTTGACAGAGCTCAGATAGTTTTGTTTCATTGAAGTTTGAGGAACTGCTAAAGTTTATGGTTGAAATTCTTCCTTCATGTCATTTCTCTGCCAAACGTCATAGACTTGATTGTCTTTACTTCTTAATAGTCCATGCCTCAAAATTGAAGGTATTCAGAGCTGGGCTATTGCTTCTATCTTTTTGTAGATTATTGACAGACAATCTTGTGTGAACATTAAAAATCTCAAATTTATGCACTGCTTCCAGGATAATCTGGACCAATGGCGAGAAAGAACCAACACTTTCCTTACTGAAATAATACTTGCTCTTAAAGAGGTAATGTACGGTTAATTGTGGAAAGTTTTTGTTCATGCAGCTTTGGTCAATTTTTAGTTTTTACCACCTTGCTTTAAAATAAATGATTCAATGTGAAGTTCCCTCTGCTGGTTTATTTCTGGTGCTGGCACATTTTCTTTAATACCCCGTGCATGTTTTGGTGGGTGGGAGTTTTGCTGTCATCCTTAATGATCCAAACTGGAACTTTCTGCCATTCATAGTTGTTAACCAGTGTTGCACTGTTGCACATGCAATAGCACCAACCAGGTTTTCATAACATGTATATTGTAGTGTTTGGAGGTTTATGTTGCTTGGATAAGAGCCATGTGATAAATATAATTAGCTTCTTGTGATTCTATGAAGTATTTGCAATTCCATGAAAACATGTCAACTTAGTGATGTCTGCCTATCAAGCAGACACATAATACTGTCAGGTTCAGCAAGCACAGATGGCTCTATTTTTGGATTTTGCTACCATACACTTGATCATATAAAAGCATGTCAACTTATTGCTTTGGTCAATTTTGGACTTGGCTCAAGTTTTTTTTTTTTCAGATTTTGCTAGTCTGTTGAGTTCTGGCCAATGTAAAGTGTGAGCCCGTGTATTTGAGTTTTTTGTTGCATCATTTGTACATTTTTCCACTTCTTTTGGTCGACCATTACTTTTGGTTGAATTGATGGCTGATCAAACCTTGTCTCTGTCAGTTTAGTGGCTGCTGCTACTTATTGCTGTTATGGCCTGCTGCAAATGACTGGTCAAGAGGGTTGCATGCTGCAATCAATAGTGTGCCAATAAATATCCACCAATATCTGTACCTTACTTTATGTTTAAAATTCATGACACCACTGTTTTCTCTGCTTATATTGTTTAGAATTCCTACTATAAACTTGTAGTGTATATTTTGTTAATTTATTATCTTTTTTGTCTATGGACTTGTACTATTATTTTCTGTCTTTGCATTTTGAGTATCTTGACTTTTGGTCTTTGTATATACTCAATACAATACTGTTGCTCATCTTATCTCTGTATTCATGGAATGGGATGGTTATTCTTGTGTTTGCTATGGTAATAAGCTGTTTGTGACAATTTTTATTGATTTTTAACTATTGTGTGCATTTTGTATTTAGAGAAGAATCACAGAATAATTAGGTGTGGACCTTACTTTTGCTCACTGATAGCTTATAAACTTAAGGTCGCTGATGCTAACCTTTGCAGGCTAATAAAAAAACTAGGAACAGGGCTTACGATATACTTGTTGAAATTGCCCATGCATTTGGAGATGAGGAAAAAGGTGGAAACAGAAAAAACTTGGATGACTTTTTTCACACGGTAAATATCCAATTGAAAGCTGTCTTCTATATCTTCATTGGTAGATTAGTGTAAAATAATATCATTCCACTTCTTTTATTTTGTCTGACTGACTTGATATCATCTTGATCTCACTATGGTTGAACAGTGAGATCTATAGCTAGATATATAGAGTAATTTGATATTGTGCTGTTTTGTGAGCTCAGGTTGCCGGCAGCCTTGTTGGGGAAACCCCACATATGATGAGTGCAGCAGCCAAAGGTTTAGCTCGCTTGGCATATGAGTTCTCTGATCTTGTTTTAACTGCTTTCGACTTGCTCCCGCACATATTTCTTCTACTCCAGAGAAAAAATAAAGAGATAATCAAGGTTTTTTTCCTTGCCTATTCTGCTGGTTAAACGCACTGCTTGCAGAAAGTGTTATTTCCTGGTGCCACTAATCGAGTGTGATTGCTGCAGGCCAATCTAGGTTTTTTGAAGGTATTAGTAGCCAAATCACAAGTGGATGGGTTGCAAATGCACCTGAAGAGTATGGTGGAGGGTTTGTTGAAGTGGCAAAACAACACCAAAAATAATTTCAAGGCAAAGGTTGTTGTGGTTGTATGACGTGATAATTTTTAACAAAGAGAATAGTTTCATTGATTTGTTGTGGATGACCATTCTTTCAGAATTTAAACTACTTGTTCATATTGTAAACAGTAAGATTCAAATTCTTTTCAGGTTAAGCTTCTTTTGGGAATGCTTGTCACAAAGTGTGGGCTGGAGGCTGTTAAAGCTGTCATGCCTGAAGAACATATGAAACTTCTTTCCAACATACGCAAGGTCTGTTGAGCATTATTCTAATAATTGTTTTATGTAGAAGTCTTGCTTGGAATTTCAATCCATTTTTTGAACAGATCAAGGAACGGAAAGAGAGGAGTCGAGGTGCTAAATCTGAAGAAACTAGATCTCATCTTTCAAAAGCAACCACCTCCAGGTAACAATCATGTATTTATTTGCATTATTAGAGGGAAAAGACAATAGTTTAAATTCTATAAATCTCAATATTAGACACTGAATATTCCCCTTCCACATTGTTGTTCTAGCATTTTGCATTTATATTCATTAAGTGGCGTGCAAATTGAACTCAGGTGAACTTCTAGTTTTTATATCCAGTAAGTTAGAATATGGGACAAGAATGTTGTTTTTAAGATTGGTCCATTGGCAATCTTTACAAGACTTGCACAGTCTTTAAAATGACATGCTTGTTTTACCCAAAACAGAAAATGACATCCTTGTTTCGTGAATTTTGTCATTAACAGCGTATTATTTATTTTAGTTCTATGATAGGCCTTCTGATTCTTGATATCATACTCTATTGAAGCCTTAATCATTTAATTAGTGAATTTAGTGCTATATTGAAACTGCTAACTTTACCTTAAGTTGCATTGGGCCAATGAATATAATATTTTCTTTTCAGGCAAAGTATGTGGAATCATACAAAAATTTTTTCGGATTTTGATGGAGATGATGACAATAGTGATGCAGAACACATGATTTCTAGAGGGAGCAAATCTTCCTTGCACCTCAAATCGGCAGCATCTTCATTTCGGTATAAGTTTTAGTTTTATAATTTGCTCATTCTTTCTGATTAGTTACTCTGGCTACAATGAATGATATAGTTGTAATCAAAATGGAAGGTGTACCGGTTCTAATTTATGCCTGCTTTCCAGTTATTTAGTTTTTCTTTTTTTAATGTAAATTGTAGTGCATAAGTTGGCAGTGGTAAAACATTTTGAAGGACTTGGTATGTACTATAGAACCTATACAGCCAAGAATCTGACAGTCAATTTTGGCTAACGTTATTGCTTGATCTATATCTAGGTCCAATGTCAGACAAAAAAGGAATTTGCCTGAGCACTTGTCTGACCAATCCGATGATGAACCACTTGATTTGCTTGATCGGCAGAAAACAAGGTCAGCTCTTATATCATCTGACCATCTTAAAAGAAAGTCAAGGTTAGATGATGATGAGGTTGAGGTAGATTCCGAAGGACGCTTGATTATTCGCGAGGAAGGCAAAAGGAGGAAAGAAAAACCTGAGGACCCTGATTTTGATACTAAGAGCGAGCCTGATAGTCACTTGTCTGCGAAGTCTGGAACTAAAGCCCAGAAGCGGAGAAAAACATCAGACTCTGGTTGGGCTTACACAGGGAAGGAGTATGCTAGCAGAAAAGCAGGTGGAGATGTGAAGAGGAAGGATAAACTTGAACCATATGCATATTGGCCACTTGATCGGAAAATGATGAGTCGTCGACCACAACAGCGGTCTGCTGCAAGAAAAGGTATGGCTAGTGTTGTTAAGATGACTAAAAACCTTGAAGGCAAGAGCGCCTCCGGTGTGCTGTCGCTAAAAAGTTTGAAATTAAAAAGGACTCAAAAGAAAGGCAGCAAGGGAAAGAAAATATAAGTAGTAGCTAAGGTGATTTTGCAGGTATATTAGATAATTATAATGTATTTGCATTTTTCTCAATTTTGAAGCTCCCGAGCTGTATATCTAGTTAAAACGAAATCAAATGTATTGTTTTATCTTTATCATTACTTGATGAGAAAACAAAAGCTGGCATTTGGGTTGCAGTTTTTCATTATAGAATCAACTCTACTGCTTTTTTTACGATAAGCAGAAATGGGGTGTACTGGGATTGGGTTTAGACCTAACAACTATCATTCATACAACATTTTTGTACATTTTTTCACACTTTTTTCAGTCAATTATATCAATTATTTTATTACATTTTTTTTTCTCTTTATCTCATTTTTTGTTGTTCAAACTACTCACAGAATGTTCAACAGAATATGGTTCAAGGTATTCGTCTGTTGGTCCATGGAATTTGTAGGTTAAATGAGTTTGGTCTGTGATGATATATCAACATATTTTATATACATAAAATGTCTTTTTTACTTTAGTTTTTTGAAAATAATAATTTTAGTTGGCTGGTGACCATTCGAGACAGCTTCCAAATAAGAAACTTTACAAATGAAAATTAATAATTGGCTTACTAGCAAATTTCATTTTTATTTACTAAACATTTTTATAATTTTTCAATTGCGAAAAAAGTTTATTTTAAATTTCATTCAATAATTAATATATGAAACGTGACATTTATTTGTATGAATTAACTAAAGGGAAGTTGTATAATTATTTAAATAGGAAATTATATAAATGGCTCCATCTATAGCAAATGTGTTAATTAATTCTACACCCCATCTTCCAAAGTCCGTTACTGGTATAGCGTCGTGAATTTGTTGCTGGCTTCATGGTGAACCATGGAGATGGGGTTGACATTGGTAATTACATTAGTAACTACTATCTTTCTCAAGTGTGTTTGCACTCATCTCACCCACCACTGTGTCTTCGTTGTCGGGGAAGACCTCTTATGTTCAGAATAACATAAGTGTGTGTCGTCGGAAACATGAGGAAGCTTTGTAGAAGGCCGAAATCATATCGGCTAAATTTAACAACTGTTATTTGCAGATTACGAAGTGGATTTGCGGGTTTGATCTCGTTTGCCATGGTAAAGGTTTCTGCGAAAAGAAATTATATGGCATAGGTGAGGAACCGTTTCATTGAAATTTTTTTAAAAATATTTTATGTATATTTTCTTTATTAATTTGTATTCACACATCTGTATTTTCATTAATTGTTTAGATATTTCAAGATTAAATGTATTTTTAGTCTTTATAAAATTAATAAATTTAACTTTATTCTTCAATCAAATTTTATTTGTTTTTAGACTTGAATAATTAAAACTAACAAACACAATTGCATATAAATTAAAAAATGAAAGTTACAAGTGCAATTAATCTGAAATAATTATTATTATGCTATTTGTATTGTAATTTCTGTACCCGACTTCTGACGTTATTACCAGTAGTGGATTTCTCTGAGATCCAATTGAAGAAATTCAACATTTTAAATCTACGAGATTCTGTAAAATATTGAGTAAACCTTACTCTGAATATCTATTGGCTCTACTATTTGACTAAAGGTGCATTTGAAAATAACCCATGTCTGAGTTTATAAAGTTACTTTTAGCTTTAAATAAGTTTTATTTAAGATTTTTTAATAAACTCTAAAATCAACCTTATGACAATGTTTTTATGAAGTTATTACATGATTAAATTATTTATCCGTATGCTCAAAGACAATAAAAATTTACGTATAGTAAATTTTTGTTAAAAATACTAAAATATCACAGAATTTAATTTAGTGTATCAATAAAATTAAATACCATAATTTTTAATAAGGATTTATTATATTTCATTGCGACCGTTTATCTAAATAAGCTGATTATGATTATGTATGCATTTTTTATTATCAAACATAAATACTTATACACTTGTTGCACTGCCCTCTTCCTGCATTTTCCAATGGGGCTATGATACCTTTTCTTTTTCAAATTCAAAATCATTAATAGATGCAAAAAGGATTTCTGCTTTCGTTGACGAGATATAAAATTCATTTAAAGCAAGACTAACGCATTATGAAAAATAAGAAGAAATTTCGTAACCTCTTCAAAATATAATAAAAACATTTTACTTAGGATAACAAAACCCTAATATTGAGTCTACAACACATTAGATAAATACATGGGAAAAATCTCAATTAGCAGAACTAGATTCATTTTAATCATTTATACTAATTCACAATGGTCGTGTCAAAAGCTATAACAGAAGTGTCATTGAAATTCTCATAAAATTGGCAGTTCCACTTGGCAAAAGTCAAAATCCTCATAAAGCTGAAATGAAGCACAAGGGTATAAAAATTTCAGTGAAAAGCATAAAACCTATTCGATGAGTGAACTAAATAATCACTGAAATTGGTTATTCAGCGGTGAGGGTCTATTTGTACATGGGAATAAAAAGAGTGTATCCCATAAAATGGTTGTTAAAAGGTTACATCAAAAGAGGGTCAACTCCTACTGTAGCCATTCAAGGTAAGATAGGATTTATAGCAGTGGATAGAGACTCCACTCCCTCCCTTCCACAATGAGCACCATATAAATCAATCATTCAACGTTCTCATTCTGAAGCCTAAAGCCCAACAAACAGCGTGTTTCAACAGTTTCTGATCCAACCGAGTAATCCACATTGCATATATTTTCACCCAACCAAAGACTCAAGTTAGTATGCAATAACATTGTCTTGGTACTCAGTAACTGCAAGATAAAAATAAACTTAAGAATAGAGTAGAGAAAAATAAAAGGGAAAACATAAACTCCTTTTAAATGACATACCTTTATAACAATAAGAACGTAGCACTCTGAAATTTTTCACTTATAAGGTGCAAATATGATTGAAGAATTGTGACCCCCAAAACCAAATGAGTTTGATAAAGCAGCTTTGATGTCCAGTCTCTCTTTCTTTGGGCCAACAAGCACTTTAGCATCCTATTTTTTTTTTATTTGAGTTAACCAAATTAAATGATTTTAGAATCCAAACTTCGTATAAACAATGTGAGACAATACAATTTTAAATAAAAGGGATGGTGGAATAGGTAGCATACCACTCCTTGATCAGGGTTTTCTAGATTGATGTTGGGATGAACCCACCCTGTCCTGATTGCCTGCATAAAGGAATAAAGGTTATATAAAAATTAAGTTGTGAAACTTTAGCTACTCTACAGATTTCATATGCAGGTGAATCATTAGTTTTCACCTGTATTGTTGCTACAGCTTCCACACCACCAGCAGCCCCTAGCAGATGGCCAATCATAGATTTTGTAGAATTCACTCTTAGCTGTATTATGATAAGCAACACAGTTAATCAAAACAATTAAAGAAAACAGGAAATCTTAGTTGCATTTGAATTGGCTACCATGCAAACAACAGTAATAAAAATGTGTAATTTACCTCAGGGTTTTGTCCAAAACAATGAATCAAAGCCTGGTACTCTTTAAGATCTCCAGCTGGTGTGGATGTGGCATGTGCATTTATGTAATTCACATCCTCTTTTGATACTCCAGACTGACCCAATGCATTTTCAATGCAAAGTATAACACCAGCCCCTGTTTGAGATGGAATAAAGAAAACATAAATGTAAGCTTAAGCATGCCCTCACCAAGTTTTCTAAACAAAGCACACAAGTATTCAAAAGCTATTTCAGTACGACAAAAATAAACTCTGGAAGAATGAAGAAAATGTGGCAGCATATATTTAATCTCTTTCACTATTCTGGAATTGTTGTTATGCAAGTGAATTAACATTCCAAAGTTTTAAGAAGATAGGATGATATGGGGTATTGACTGTCTAAGACCACACTGAGAATTAACATAAGTTACAAGAGATGAATCTGGATTCAAAAACTCCACATTTGCAATTTTTAAGTTACTAGAAAAACATCCATGCACTCCTCTTTCGAACAATGCCTTAGCAGAATTTAGATATGATGGTCCCTCGAGACTGTGTTTACACAACAACAATAACAACAACAAAGTCTTATCCCACTAAGAGAGTTTGGCAACATGGATCACACAACAGTATTGAATTCGGTCAAAAACCAATTTTTCAGAAATTTAGTTAATCTCAAATGACAAAAGATAGCCATTTTCAATCAGCTACCTATAAACTTCAATTATGCAGTTCACCACCTAATTAATCAAGAGATCCTTTGTAAATAGAAAAAGGTGCAAGGAAGGGGAAACTGCATCTATGGGGAGCAAACTCTACACATTTTCAGTTCCCTTTCCTCCTTTTCTAGGACATCACACACACAAATGGAAGATGCACTTGCATTTCCAGACAGTGCAACAGTTTCACATTAAAAGGATTCATTTTTCAGAGCTAAAATTGATAGATGCCACAAAAATAGCGGCTAAGGCATCCATATGAATGCAAGTACTAAAACAAGCATGAATTACTAAAAGCTATAATAAGGATTTGCAGCTTTAAATTTTTATACTATCAATATTATTACCATAAAAGAACTACAACAATAAAGCAATAATATGTCAACCAAGATGAAAATGCCAGATAAAATTTAAATTATATAAATAAATTCACCATGAACACACCCGTCTTATTTCACAGTTCTCTCAAGAGATCCTGAAGGGTGAGGTACTTTTAGACCCAGATCATGTTCATGCTCATCAAGATGTGCTCATATCAAGGTAACTAACATGATTATGAATGATTTATCTTTCTAAGATTATGAATAGAAAGGGCCTTAAAGATTTAACAATTTACCATCAGGACGCGGCTCAGTCACATGATATGCATCACATGTGAAACTTCCACCAAGGAATTCTGCATATATGTTTGCACCTCTATTCTGCAATGTTAAAAACTAGATTATTTAGGAAATTACACAAGTATATTGCCAAAAACGATAGATGTATTTAATTAGTGATGATATACATGTCAAATAAAGATTAGGAGAAAATTAGAAATAGTAGGTAGTGGTCATGACAACAATCCTAACACAAGATAGAACAGATGCACAAGTGTTGATATTGTTGGAAGGAACTAAAGGATGAGGTACATCCTAACACAAGGTTAGGCTTTTTTACTCTCAAAGTATATGATCAAATTTGAAGTACCTTAGCATGCTCCAATTCTTCTAAAAGCAAAACTCCAGCTCCTTCTCCCATGACAAATCCATCACGGTTCTGTAAGATCATAACCACAAGCAAGTTAGAAACACAAGTGCAAGACAAGATGAAGGAAAGGATCAGCATACAGACCAAAACTGCAAGCATTGCAATCTTTTAAAGAGGAAAGGATATTCTTTCTACATAGAAAATCTTTTAGAAGAATATAAAACTAATGTTTAGAAGATCTGCCCAATCTCTTAGCATGACTAAATGACATGTGCTGACTGCCATTTGATTGATTTAACATACATTTTTGTGATATACAAGGTTGGGTTGATGAACCTTGAAAATTTTAGAGGGGTTTTAGTTAATTAAGCTCTCTAGATTATTAGGAAAGACAAGCATAAATCCAAATTCAGTAGGGAAAATAAGCAACAGGATCATTATAGTATTACAATATCCCAAGGGCGTGATGCTTTGGTAGGATCAGTATTCCTCTGTGAGAGTGCCCTGCATGCCACAAAGCCTCCCAAACCTGCACCAATTGTTGGATTAAAATTGAAATCATGGCATGATAACTCCACATTGTCCAGAAAGAATGAGTAACAAAAGGATACCGATTGGTATAATAGCAGCATCTGAACCACCACAAAGCATCACATCCTGCAGAGAAATTTTATATTTGTTAAATTTGTTACACCCTTTGATAAAATAAATTGAAAATGTCAGGGAAAAAATGTGAACTCCACAAATGCCAAGAGCACATACAAAAACAAAGTACTTACAGCTTCACCTCTAATGATATGGTTTGCGGCATTCAATATACAAAAGTTACTTGTAGCACAAGCTGTTGAGATAGAATAATTAGGGCCCATCCATCCCTGCAATCCATAAATCAAATGGAAGTTTAATAAAACATGGCCAGAAAAGGAGGGGGAGGAACTTCTGACAAAAACCAAGACAGTGCCCCAAGATCTATTTAAACAGACCAGATCCATTGCAAGCATGGCAGATCCCATATTTGTTGTTGCAAAAGGAACACAGAAAGGATTCATCTTCTTGTATGAGATTCGTAAAGCTTCAATGGCATCATTAAAAACCTGTTCAGTAAACAAAAGAACAACAAAATTACCAACCAATCAATGCCATAAGATTGCATGATAAAATATATTTCTGGCTCCTTTTGTATTGCATTAGACATAAATTCAATCCAGAAGTCCAGCAGGTGTTACAACTTCTTAAAGATGTTATGACACTTCCACATATAAAATCAAGCTACTGAATGTCATAGAAGTCAATTTTACACTCAAGTGTTGAATCTCCACATGCAATAGAGTCAAGATACCTTCATGCCACCCATTGCTGAGCCAATCAGAACTCCACACTTGTCTTTATTTAACTCATCCATTACGTCTTCAGTAATTCCACCATCAACCAAGGCTTTTTTGCCAGCTGTTAGCATATAGAGCATAAATTTATCCATTCTCTTCGAAAGTTTTGGTGCTACCCAGCCATCAGTTGAGAAAGACTTTATTTCACCAGCAATCCTCTGGAAAAGATGATATTGAGAACAAAATCTACTGCAGCAACAACTGGAAATAAAACTTGAATTAAATATAACTTACTGTTGGATATTCTGCACAATCAAATGTCTCAATCTCGCTTATGCCACTAACACCATCGAGCAAATTATTATAGAAGATATCTGGATCATGACCAAGTGGTGTAACGACACCCATGCCTGTCACAACTACTCGCCTTTGTTTTGTAGGAGGCTTTTTGGGTGTTGTGACCTCTTGGGCAGGTTCCAAAGCTACAGCCATTGTTTTACCTTGAAATTTTACAACTCCAAGCATAGATCAGCACTCAACAATTATAAGATTTATTATCAATAATGGGATATAAATAACGTTCATAAATTGGTTTCCTTCTTTATCAACACAGCTTTGGAGTTCAAAATTTCAGACAAATGGCTATCATTCAAGAAAGCATACCATAAGCCTTGCAAGAAATTAAATGTCTACCACAAAAAAAGTTGGACATGTATATTTTAATTTTAAAGGAATCATAATCTTAAAGGTGCTCATCATGTTGGGCAGGGAATACAACTGCAGGCCAACAATAAATATGCTTAGGTTTAAGCAAACTGCATTACAAAGGACCTTCACAAAATTGTTGAGACCTTGTCATATAGAAGCAAGCCTAAACTTCTATCTATCATTTAGAAAAAAAATTAAAGATAGCAAAAACCAGACCACACCAAGCTAGCTATACATATCCAAGAGGCATTTTTCCTAACTGTCAAAGATCCATTTCAAGTCAACACTGAGACATCGGCCAGGTGTTTATTTTCTAAAATTAGTGAGAATCTATCTTTCTCTCTTCCCAAGATTAGGTAGATATTCATTACACACTTTGGTCATCATGGGAAGTTACTCCTAGATCGTGGGTCGGGAACGAACATCATGGACAGATTGAGATTTACACAAATTTGTCCACATCTCTTGAGCAAGTGGTTCACGAGAAATCCAAAACAAAATACAAAATGGATCAACGTGATAGGAAATAAGTTGGCCAGGTGGCCTGAGGGGGGATCAAAGGGCATCAGCATAGAAAGAGGGCCATCTATAGTTGAAAATACTGAAGAACAAGAGGCCAAACCACTCGTGGCACAGTTTCTGCCAGAAATTTATCTATTTTGTATCCAAACTAACAAACATTTGTCCTCCCTTCATGTTTCAACAACCACCAAGCTCATGAAGGCATTAATTTTGTCTTTGGTTTATCTTATTTTCAAGAAACAAACACTTATTGTTGCCACCTTTCTGAGAGAGTTTTAAAAAAATAAGCAATTACTTTCCAGAAATAATCTCTTACCAAAAAAATGCACTAAACATTATCAAAATTAGTTTAAAGTTCAAACATACAGAAGAACGGAAAGCACCCTAAGAAAAACAGAGAGGGAGAGATGCCCATGCATGGGGCGATATCTCCAACTTTCAGCTTCAGAAAATAGAAGATAAAAGAAAAAGCTCACAAGTGCTTTATCATGTTAAAAGTAATTCTCCGTACACACAACGAACAACCTCCATGAAATTGCAACAACAACAACAAAATGAAAACTACAACATTAATCAATAATTAATGAAAACTTTAGAATGGTTTTTATGGCTATTCGTACGACAAACACTAGAAAGGCAAATTATACGCAGTCAAGTGACGCATGTGTACCCAGTGCTAACCTAACCAAATTATTTTCCTTAACCAATGAAGCAACGAGCAGGTATGAGACAACCATCAAAATTAAACCAAATGAACAACCCCACATAATTAAAAATAAAAATTAAGACAAAGATCCAAACCAAAAGAACAAACTTTAATGAACAACTCAGAGCAAAAAAAAACGCAATCTTTACTAACAGAAAGACATAACCCAGATTTGACGATCAACGAGCGAGTTACAAAAAACAGAAGATACCCAATAAAGTGCATAATTAGCAATCTCAGAAAAATGCAAACTTGAGATTTAAATTTAAGAAAATAAAGAGAGAAAACGAAATTACCAGAATGAGTGAGTCGATTGAGGCGTCTCTGTCTACGATTGAAATTGGATCCAAAAAAGGAAGAGTGAGAGGTGCAGTAGTGATTGCAGGGTTCGAAGAGAGCGTGAATGGTGGATCCACAGAGAGAAGAAATGTTGAATTGGGAGGGTCTGCGAGACCTCTTGGAAGACCTAAACATGGCGTGAGAGGTTCTGGGACGGTCAGCATCGCACGTGACTGACATGCAAGCCGCCACGAGCCACGTGCAAAGGGAAGAGCTGGTGGTAGCCATGAAAATCGATGGAGAAAGGTCGTGACTTGTTGCGATTGAAAACGAGTAAGGCTAATAGAGGAAGGACCCAGAAACTGAAGAAGATGAAAGAGTGGTTGTAAATGGAAACAAGAGACACAGACACATAAAGGTTAAGTGGTGGGTCGTTTTTGTTTCAAAGCGGGTAATGATTATGATTATGATTATTACGATGATGCAGAAGCAGATTCAGATTACTATCAAACTTCTTCACAAATGCATTTCATCTCTCACAACACAATCTGTTTCAATACACGCTGCTTTTCTGCAATCTGAGTCGTTCCTGCTCACTGCTCGCTCGCTCTCTCTCGCTCTCTCTCTTCCTCTGATGACACAGAAACAAATGAAAATAATAAGAATCACATTTTTTATAAGGTTGTGTTTTTTAGGTCTATAGTGATGTTATATTTTACTTTAGGATTTACGTTAATTGGTGTCTTTAATGTACTTCTTAAAAAATTACTAATTTAAAATTATTTTAGTGATATATTCAAAATTATAAAAGAAAACAACACATCATTAGGCATTTTAATAAATGTATTTTTTAATCAATGTACTTCAAATATTAATTTACATTTGTCATTGTTATTATTTGTGGGTAATTTAATAATTTCACATGGTACAAAAAAAATTAGGGTATTGTTTCAACTTTTTTTATTAGCTATTTTATTTAAAAATGGTGTGTATCGTTTAAGAGATATTTAAAAGTGCTTTTTATATATATTTTTGAACGTGTCTCTAATATTTAAGTATATATATATATATCATGAAAGAGACAAAAGTATTAAATTTTAATGATTTAAATAATGTAAATGTTTTTTCACGTTTATCTGAAAGCTTTATTTGGATTCCTTTATGGCTGTGGAATATGCTTAAGATTGAGATGAGATAAAGATACATAGCTAAATAAAAAAATAGTGATTATGATGTTTTGACAAAATAAATGGAATATTATAGAGTTTTACAAAGAAACAATAAGGGTTGGAATATTATATGCGATAAAACAGAAATAGCCATAAAATTACGTGGCTTATATTATTTCATATTTTTGTGTTATAATTATTATCTGTGGTCCACTGGGATACATATGACCTAAATCTGTATGGACGAACAGTGCTTGCTGCCTTGGACTATTGGACGTGTCCTCCAACCGTCCCAAGCAAAGGCTTTACGTAGGAATTGGATGTTACATCACTTCTATAACACAAATTATTATATCTTTTAGTTTTATTCTTAAATTATTATTTTTTGCACAAAATTTGTTTCAGAAAAATTATATATATATATATATATATACTATCTGTTTTATTAACTGATCTAATGATAGTAAAAAGTGTTTGGTGTTACAAGTAAAAAAAATAGATTAATCAAAACATAACTTATTTGTGACAAAAGTAAATCTCATTCTTCTTGCTTTTCCTGTCTGTTTCTGTTGATTATTGTCTTTATCCATTTTTATATATCAATGGTAAGTTAACTTTTCTAAAATAGGTTAAGTTGGTTAATTTCTTTTCTTAAAAAATGAACATGCCAGTGTTAATTTTTATTTAAAATTTCATTCTTTTAGAAAAATAATTATATATGTTTGCTTTAGAATTCTAACCATTTGTGTTTTTTTTTTTTTTTGTAATTTTTTTTCAATCAACTAAATATGTTATCTTTGGAATCTTAAATTTTTTTTTTATATATCTTACTTAAAATTTAAAATACAATCGGTAGCATACTACGAAATTATTATCATTTGATTTGGATGAAATTGTTTTACAGCTTGTGTGAAGTGTAAGATGATCATTTTATTATAGTTATTATGTTTTAAACATTTATTTCAAGACAATTAAAAAACTTGTGTATAGTTAATTTTCAATTTATTAAATGCAAAAAAATAAAAAATATTGAACAAGTTAAGTGGCAGTAGGACGAAAATCATTAATTTTAATGGGTTGATAGAGTGAGAAAATAGGATATCACACGACAATTGCTCATTTGAGTTATTACTCACTTTTTTTTTATGTAAAATAAGTGTAAGTCATTTTTAAGTATTACTTAAGCTGGGCGATTTTTTTAATCTTAGAAGGTGCAAATCCCTTTCCCTGGATTCTATGCACTAAAACAAATGATTATTAGACTCATTGACAAAATTAATGTCAAGCTGGTGGCATGTATAATTATTTCAAGGATTTTATTAACTAGCATTGTAAGGTAAACAAATAAATTAATTAAAATTTATTATAAATTGTATTAGAAATTTATTAAAAATAATGAAGATACATGATAATGATTGTTAATAAAAATTATTCTTTTTTTAAAATATTATTCTAAATATACTAGTTTAAAAAAAGTAATTTATGTATAAACTAAAAAAATAAAACAAAATTATAATTTTATAATTAAAAACAAAAATACAAAATATTTTTTAAAATTAAACAATGCCTTAACGTTAAAAGAAGAAAATTTAAAAGTTAGCGCAGGTACGGATGGAAACAAGGCCTATAGTTAGGCTTAATTTAAGTCTAACTTTTTTAATAGACAGATAAAGTTTATACTTTTTTCTAAAGCTTATTTAAATAAATAAGTTAGGTCTGAGAAAGTCTGTTATGTTTGACAGACTAACCTATATATATAATTCAAAAATAGAGCTGTTAAAATATATTTAAATAATAAATTTATTTAATAATAAATTTTTTATATTTTTAATTATATTATTATTAAATTAATATATTATGTTATAATTTTTTATAATTATAATAAATAAAAATTATATTATATTCAAAATTTATAATATTTATACATAATTACACTTTTTAAATAATAAATTTATTTAACAATAAATTATCATATTTATTACATTTAAACAAGTTAAAAAGTGGTTAAGTCTTTGAATAGTAATAACACACAATTAAAATTAAACGAAATAAAATTTAAAAATAAAATAATAATATTATATTAATATATTTTTTATATTCTAAATTTTATTATTATTAATATTTGATTATTTAATTGTTATGTTAATATATTGTGTTTAATTTTTTTATTTATAATAACTAGAAATTGCTTAAATATAAATCATATTTTACTCAAAACTAAAATTTTATAAATAATGATAAAAAAATAAAATAAAAATTTAATATACAATATATATATATATATATATATATATATTAGGTTCATATAATAAATAATATAATTTTAAATAAATTATATATAATAATATATAGTTTTTGTAACTTGTTACGTGTTTTAACTTTATTAGTATAAATTTGTTGAGTAAATTATCTATAAAAAAAAAATTAGATAGGTTCACAGCATACAGCTACACATATAAATATAAATATGTAAAATTTTAAATAATTATTTTTAATAAATTTAACATAGATATAGACAAATTTTTTCTTCAAAAATATAGTTATTAATATATATTTAAAATTTAATAATTAATAAATATTTACATAAACAAAAAAATATAAATAAAAAATTAAATTATTAATTAATTTATCAAATTATATATAATATATAAATATATGTTTTAATATATTGTATCATTAATATTTTTTATATTATATTAATATTATAATTAGTTAATTTGATATATATTTATTAATTTAAAATAACAAATTAATTAAACAAATAAAATTAAATATTTTGTAATGTTATTAGATTGTTGTTATTAATTATAAAATTTTGTTATATTATTAAACTTTATTTGAATTGATACACTTATTTTTTATCCTTATTTTATTATTATCTATAGTTATTTTGAATATAAATATAAGGTAAATTATTATATTTGTTTGAATAAACTGAAAAGCAGTAAAATCTTCGAATAAGGTTAAAACTCAACCAAATTAAGTAAATTAAAAAATAAAAATAAAATAATAATATTATATTAATTTATTTTTTATATTCTTAAATCTATTATTATTCATATTTTATTATTATATTAATATATTATGTATAATTTTTTATTTATAATAAAAAATACATTATATTTAAAATTAAAAATATTTATACATGATTATACATATTTAAATAATAAATCTATTTAGTAATAAAATATTATATTTATTACATTTAAATAAGTTAAAATAACGTTTAAATTTTCAAATACAAGACACAATTAAAACTAAACAAATTAAAATTAAAAAAAATATTATTATATTAATATATTTTTCATATTTTTAATTTCATATTTTTCTCCTGTTATTTACAATAGTTTCTCCTTTCTATGGCTCTTCAAATTTTAAAATTTTACTATTATATATATTCAAAATTTCAAAACAACTTTTATCATTAAATTATATTAAAATATAATATAATAATTAATTATTTAAAATATAATTTTATTAAAATAATAATATAAATTATAGTAAATTTTAAATTTTATAATTACTAAAAATATATGATTATTATTATTTATTATTTTAAACTAAAAAATAATATCTCTTTATTAGTCATTTTATATATAACTAATTCTATCAAATACTTTTTAAATCTGTTACATCATTTTTTTTTTCAATTGACTTTTTAGACTTTAGTTCTTTTAGCTAGATTATCTAGTAAAATTTCCAAACATACCTTAAATATGGGTATAAATTAATGAGTTTAATTTTAGTGACTTATTAGTATAAAAATATTTTTATATTAAATTAATTATAATATATATATCTACGATATTTATATTAATTATCATAAAAATTAATAAATTTTCCTGGTATAATAATCTACGATTGAGTGACAGTTAAATTTTTTTTAATATCATCTATCTATTTAAATTAAATTATATTATTTTTTAAATTCAATTCAATAAATAAATTGTTTTATAAGTTTATTAATTCATCATATTTTGAGATTTTAAATTTAATTATTATAATTTATATCAAACATCAGTTGGAGAAATTTATAAACATTTGTTTATATATATAATATTTTGTTATTGTGTAAAATGTTTATAGCTTGGCAAAATGGAGAAAGGCTTCGCTAATTGGATTAATTGGTCAAAGAAACCACCTTAATCAATGGGAAACGTTGATGTGACCTTTTAACTTTGGTATAACTCTCAACTGTGAAGTCAAATCTTAATTAATGAGACCATTTTACACTGTTTAATGAAAAGAAAAACAGTAAGGATAAATCAAGTTTTAAACGAGTTTTTCTTTTGTGATGTTAGGTGTGTAAATGTTTGAACGTGTCAATTGAGTTATAATTAACTCAATGCTTATTAGAAAATGCACACATAACAGTTGTTTAAAGAATTTAAACATGTTAAAAAAAAATATTTTTTTCAAGAGTATTGTGTTTCACAGGTTCATGAGCATGATTCACATGATGAGAAGCGCATGATTCAGCATCATGCATGTTGA